AGCTATCAGTATATATGCAAGCATGTATAGACTTGGGTTTTGTAAATGGAAAAAACTAGTTTTAAAATACTTTTAATCGCATAATTATCTGATTTCACAACAGATGACAACGCCAGAATAAAATCAGGTGTATTTTGTATGTCTGACAAGTTTTAAACTACAAGTGTAAAAGTTTCGACTTCATCAGATGTTTGGTTAGCTTTTTAGAAATTATTGAAATATTGCACCTATGTTATTGGGAATAAATTTAATATCGTTCAATTAAAAAATTGCTTCATTTGAAAGCCATGAACAACGATTCAATCAAATTGGAAATGAATTCTGTTTACGGCAACCTTATACCATCGTTAACAACAATAAAATATTGGAAAATTAAATTTAAAAGTGGTCGAAGGAGTGTTTTTGATGAAGAGTGTCCGGGTCGTCCAAAAGAGGTCACAATTAAAAAAAAACCATGATATTGTGTTCGATAATTCAAAAATTAAATTTCGTGAGATAGCAAATAGCAAAGTTGTGTATCGAGTATTTTACATGAATATTTGGGTATGAAAATACTTTCAGCAGAATGGGTGCCGAGTTTGGTTACCAAAATCCAAAGAATAAAAACGACAACGATTTCGTCATTCAAAACATTGTTTGGAAATATTTATGCACAATCTAGCTAACTAACTGACTGTGAGCGTCAATTATCGAGTAGTGGCAATTGTTGAAGTATGAATTCATTGCTTTACAATTGAGAGAAACAACACAACGGAGAATGGGTAGAGCCCGTGGGTAATGCTTCCAAACGACCACGAACTCAACAATCGGCTGAAAAAGTTTTGACTTTCGTATTTTAGGAATCAAATGAAATAATTTTCATAGACTATTTGGACTACTAAAAATTAAAACAATAACATCAGACTACTATTGCATATTATTTGATCGTTTAAATGAAAAAATCAAGAAAAAACGACCACTTTTGTTGAAGATTAAAAGGATAACGCACCCGCTCACAAGTCAATGGTACGCATTGCTTTCTCACGCAACGTATTCTCCATATTTAGTCCCAGTGACTATTATCTGTTTTCAAACTTGAAAAGATGACTCCAGGGAAAGAGATTTGCAATAAATGATAAAGTGGAATGAGAGGTATATTTTGGAAGACTTGATAAATCGTATTATTTAAAAGATATTCAAATATTGGACAATCGTTGGACTCAATGTGTCGAGCTAAAAGAAAAATATATTGAAGCAAGAAATATATTTCCCAAAAAAATATATTTAAACCTTAAATTTTTTTTCTCTTTTCTTTTTATCATCTTTTTTTGTTTGCAATATTTAATTATATGTTCTAGATTCTTAATATTAAATTCTTATTTTTAATGTGATTTGAATTTCTTTCAAAAATAAAAAAAAATAAAAATATTCTCTAACTCGAAGTCTCCATAAGTAGAACCTTTTCTTTGCAAAATTAGACTTCGAGTTATGGAAGTTTGACTTGGAATACTCAAGTGATTATAACGCACAAACAGCTAAATTTTTGTGCAATAAACATTCATTTGCTGCAATTTATTTTATCAACTAAACTGTGGTTAAACGGTAAAGATAATAGACCTATAAAAGACCCAAATTAGCTAAATTTTCCGGGATGGATTTAGTCTCTACTCTTCTATACTAGGTTTCTTGCGAGGAATGTGGTAGCAAAACGGCGAAAAATCGTTAATTGAGGTACATGTAATGACCTACCACTGTAACCAACCAACCAAACTGTGGTGCTAAAAAAGCTAAAAGTTTTCAGAATGATTTTCGGTTGATTATTTTTGATTTTCATTCGCATTTTCATTTAAAACATTATTATTTTCCGAAAAACTATCTTTAAGCCAAAGTCTTCAGTTACATTTGCAAATAATAAGCTTATTAGGATATCAAAATATACCACAAAACACAACGTAGTCCGATTGTATTCATTATTTTTATATAACGTAATTTGTATCTTTTCATGGAAATTCACCAAATATGTGGTACTGGCTGCAAATATCAGTTTCATTGGAAAACTGAATAAAATCTGATTATAATGAGATTTAAAATGTTTGTAAACTAATTTAATAATGGACTCTCACGTAACTTCAGCATATGTAATTCAAATCTTTACTAAATAGTATAATCTTTTTTGTGGCATATATGTTTAACCATTTTTTTTTTTTTTTGAATTTTAATAAGAATTTAATTGCATAAATATTATTTTGCAGTATTTTCCTTATCTCCATAGTACATGTGGTACAAGGACATGTACCATAATTCAACGACAGCCAGACTAACTTCATACCACATAACCACATTTGTTGCGTGAGATATGAACACATGTAACTGACTTGATGACAATTTGCATCTCCATTGAAAAGTACAATTTGGTTAAAATAAATAAGTGTATATATCTATTTTACTTAAAATTAAATTATTCTGAATGATTCATTTAAATCTGTATTTTTAAGTAAAAAAATATGAAATTTTTTCGGTTACAAACGGTAAGTTTATTTGGTTTTCCATTCCCAGGTGCTTTTTAAAACTCTTTAAATAAAACTAAAAAGAATAAACATATAAAAAAATAAATAAATAAAGAATAATAAAATAAAGTTATATAAAATAAAATAATAAACAAAAAGATTCATTACACAGGATCTTTATTTAATAGATACCTTTTTAATTGTAGCGACACTCAAACAGCTTCTTATTGATACACATGTCCAATAACACCATCTTTTTAATTATTAATGTTAGTACGTTGAAACATCATGATGATTTACCTACTGGCGTACAAGGAAACGCATACGCGGACAAACTAAACAGGAAAGGAGCAGCCCTACCGATGATGGGACCGATACCTTTTTGTGGACTAGGCCATAGTACGCACTTCTCTTTTATAAAAATAAAGGAGAATCAGAATAAAAAGGATTACCGTGATAATATACCAGAATTAACAAAATCCAAATCACGTATTGATACATATAACAATAAGAGATACCTGAATTGTATGAACCTATCAAAAGAAAAACTTAGAATCATCACAGGAATACCAACAGAGCACTGTAAACTAAAATACCACCTTACGAGACTGAGTGTATATACGGATGCAAACTGTAGATTCTGTAAAGAGAATGAGGAGTCGGTAACACGTGTGCTGTTAGAATGCCCTACGCTAATACACATATGGAATAGGCTCCTAGAAATATATATACTTACGGAAGAGGCAATAAAACTTCGTAAAGTGAGTTCTATACTACTTTTATTGGCGCAACAGGGCTTAGAGATGTACTCTAAACCCGGAGTGGGGGCACAAAAGACCCGATGGTCGCAGTGCCACATCCCCTAACAATAATAAATAAATACTTTTATAAATTATTCAATTATTCCCGTTAAATTAAATATCAGTATAACTGCGTAAATTTGTAATTAAATTCCTTGTGTTTTCACTCTTACTTTTCTATGTAAGTTTTTAGTCTATTGTTTTACTAACACAATCGTCAACTTTAAACGATTTTTCAGTTAACAATCTATTCGTGTCTGTTACTTGTACGATTTACTTAACATTTATTTTTACAACCCACATAGTCTCTGGCGGAAAAGTGTTTAGAATATTTCCGAGTCAATCGTAAGAGACGATTAACATTCAATTGACACAACCCGATACTCTTTGAGGTGAAAATGGTAACTGAGTTTCACTTGTTCCACGTGTAATTCTAATACCATAAACATACAGGTTCAGCTATTCTGTCCAATTAAGGTAAGTCCCTTTAATGGGAATATCGTGTTGGCTGTGGTTAAAACCTTAAGTTGAGTGAATAGAATGACTGTATTTATTACATAAATTAGATGTGGAGTTGCATTCTTCTGCCGGGTATGGTTCTTCAAAAAACAGCAATGTTAGATGAGCTGCGCTCCGTTCAAAGCACAATACAAAATCCATAAATGTGGTTTTAATGGCACCGATGAAATTTCTTAAAATTGCAATAAAAGAACTTACGAAAACTCGAAAACCTAATACAGCACGACCCGTGGATCTTGTTTAGAAAGAGTATCATTAATTTATAGAAATATGCTCCGACATTTGAACATTTCGACCTTTAGATTCACAACGGTCCAACCAACATACTTTGAGCAATAGCATTGATATGACAAATAATATTTATATGATATTTAAAAGATCTACTTTATTAAAATTAAATTGTGTCAAGAAATGAAGAAACATACAACTTATTACCATAAAAATAATTATGAAACTCTTGGTCAGTTAATAATAACTGATTAAAAGATTTTTGAAATTAATATTGCTTTAATCACCATACAAATTTTAATTTTATATTATTGCAAAAACACTCAACCTTATACTTCAGTGCAAATCTTAATAATTAATATTCTTATATATTCTTATAAAGTATTTATGAGAGGCTTTAAACGCATATGTAAAAATGATTAAGTTGAGGATTTTTGGCTAATCGAATTGATTTACTTGATAGTTCGAGCGTACCTTTGGTATATTGGGTCAGCACTGCTATATGGCTGGTTGTGACAACAGCACACTAAGCACTAAATCTATATACATGTATATAAATGAAACTCAGTCATTTTGAACTTATATTTCTAACATATTTATGCTACTATTTTCAAACTATTTCTAGTCTTCCCGGCATAATGTGTAAAGCTGTACCATACTAATCTGATCAGGCTGGTTTCGAATATAGATCAGTATTTTACAACTACACATAAATATAGTATTTTATAGAATTTTAAATAAGACAAGAAATGAAATACTGCTCATTTTTTTTTATTGTTTCGAATTAATTGTTTAAAAAAAAATATATAATCAAGAAATGGTATTATAAGCAGTAAAAGAATTATTTAAAAAAAAATTGTATATTATTTTTTTAAAAATGGTATTTTAAAAAAATAATATACATTTCTTTAAAAAACAATTCTTACTTTTGTTCACTCAAAAATTTTTTTGTTTTACTTTTTTTTTTCATTTAAATTTAAATTTAAATTTAAAATAGTAGATAACTTAAATTGTTTATTTGAAATGGTCTATGGGCCTGCGATATTTGGCAACCGCCAAAGTGAACGGTTGCAAATACACTGACTTAGCCACACGTTTTATTTTTTCGAAGACATACTCCCAAGTTGTTTTATTTGCGATATTCTGTCGTATTAATAAAAATCCGGCATCGGCCATTGATTGCAAAAATTGTTTTTCATTGTCCTGATCTGAATAAACGTCGATTATAGCAAGTTGACCACCGTTTTTAATTAGCCTATTCGCTTCTAAAATAAGAGTTTGAAAGTCTTGCCCATATAATGTGTGGTTATATATTAATAGATCATAGCTGTTCGATTTGAAAGATGTCTGAGCAAAGTCAATCTCATCGCATTTTTTGATTATATCGACCGTCTGTAGTAATTTTTTAAAGGGCTTGCTATTTATTTTTCCCATCACTATGACTTTACTTTCGACCGGTAAACGAGTAACGAGTTTATAGACAAACTGTGTGTGCGGGTCCAAGTTCTTTACTTCCTGAGGAATGTCAGTTTCACTTTTTTCGCACTATGTTCCAATAAATAAAATTGAGTATATATTTTAATAAAATATGTAAACAAATTAAAAATAAAATAAAAAAAATTAAAATCAGAAAAATATTTTACCATGTCTAATCCATGCCCATCAGTTGTTTTCAGCACTAGTTTCGCACTTTGCTGCTTTCGTTTGGGGAGTTTACGGCGAAGTGCTTTAGCTTTTCTTTTCTTATGGATTTTGCGCCAAGCCTTCTTTACCACCGCTGGTGTCTTTCGCTTGACTCGTTTGGTTACTGGACGAACTACATTTGCTTTTTTTTTCTTGTTGACTTTTGACATGGCTTTTCTTATAAGTGCGGGTTTTTTGCGTTTCAACCATTTTTTACGACGGTTAACTGACTGTCTCTCCACCTTTTTTCGCTTAGTTAATAGCCTACCAAAGTTGTTGCGAGCATTAACAATCTTGTTTACCGCTGAAAGGACCGATCTATCAGAAGGTCCCGTTTTCGGTGGTGGAGGAAGTTGATACACAGTCTGCTCGACATTTTCTCCCTTGCCTTTGTATGAATTGTACACAAAAAATCGAGCAGATTTTTTCTTCGGCTGAAAAAGAAGCATAAAGTTATATTAATTTTTATATTTATCTTTCATTTAGTTTTTCTATAGTACATAAAAATTTTCTGATCTACATAAGTGCCTAATCAATATACTGTTTAAAAACTAAAGAAACACAGTTAAAGAACCGAATCATTAAAATAAAGTAAAAAAGGGAAAATGAATTTAAAAAAATGTCAGAGATGAAGTTGGAACTGGTAGAACTCCCGAAAATATACTTTATACATTTGAATAAAATGGCCTTGTCTCTTCTTTCTCGAGAATTACTGTGAAAATACTGTGAAATAGCAATAATAATCCCGTATCGAATTTTAGGTAGTAATCGTTATTATTGATGAGGGTACAAAAATAGATGAATGCTGCGGCAGTTTTGAAAGTGCAGTGGCCAGAAATCAATCAACTTTTCGAGATATAAGCTATATTGCTGCTAGCCGGTACATACTATGTTTTGCCATCATTTGGCGTCAAATCCACTTTAGATTTTTTTTTTTTGATAACATCACGTTTGCTACACACGGTAATTTTAATATTATCATTATTTGAGCTTTACTTTGTAGGAATGTAGAATTAAACTATTACTGTAACTATTAAATTACAGAATTTACCCTAATATACGTGACCCTAATGATATGTTTTACTGCATTATAGTCTTATCGAAAGATGCGTGGATGTGTACCACTCAGTGAATTGCTGAAAAATTTATTCTCCCGAAATTAATACGGATTATTGAATCAGCTTTCTTCAAAAAACAATAAAAGGTACCATGATTTCATTCTTTGGTTATACAAATATATTTATTTATTTTCTAAAGTCTTGAACCATTCTACAGGTGGGCTATCGAAGGGACACCAATTTGTCGTTACTACATCGTTATACAACGTCCTATGTATTGTAATATGCACTGCAAAATAAGCTATATACTATTATTTATAATTAGGTACTCAAGGCCAAAAGCGGTTTTATAATTTATAGAAAGCCATGTTTACAGATTTATATTAACATTATTTTTAACTTAAATTTTTGGCCATTATTCATGTCTCTATACTCCTCAATTTTATCTGTCTTGTACCCTTCTTACGTTCATATTTCAAATCTGAAAACGTCTTATATATTCCCTGCTGATGAGTAGTGAAAATTGTCTTACATAGTTGCTGTAAAATTAGAGGCACAAAAAACGCACTAGAAAAGAAAAGTTACTCAACGTCAACGATAAGATATGGAAAAAATAAAAACACTAATTATTGCATATCAAACTGTCCTCTAAATTGAATTTATTTCACTAACAAAGTAAGCCCTTTCGCTCCACTCACCAAATGGTTAATACTTATCTTACCGCCATTATTTTAATTAAAAAAAGAAAAACTTGAAGTGCCAGTTAACTGCACCAAAAAATAATAAAAATTAATCTAATAAAATATTTTTGTACAAAACAAAAACGTTTAAAATAAATTTGGAATATATGTATTAAACTTTAAAAGTGCATACCAGGGTGACATGCGGAAGAAAAATCTGCTCGATTTTATTGCGCTTCTCAGTTTTCGTTAAAGGCTTCTTTATTGTTTTGCGGACATTGCGCGGTAAAACTTTTTTCTTGTAAACCTTTTTATTTTTTCTCTTTTGAGCAGGCCGCTTACGTTTATATTTGTTAATCTTCGGCTTTCTACCCCCACCCCGCGGTATATAGATGTGGAGTTGCATTCTTCTGCCGGGTATGGTTCTTCAAAAAACAGCAATGTTAGATGAGCTGCGCTCCGTTCAAAGCACAATACAAAATCCATAAATGTGGTTTTAATGGCACCGATGGAATTTCTTAAAATTGCAATAAAAGAACTTACGAAAACTCGAAAACCTAATACAGCACGACCCGTGGATCTTGTTTAGAAAGAGTATCATTAATTTATAGAAATATGCTCCGACATTTGAACATTTCGACCTTTAGATTCACAACGGTCCAACCAACATACTTTGAGCAATAGCATTGATATGACAAATAATATTTATATGATATTTAAAAGATCTACTTTATTAAAATTAAATTGTGTCAAGAAATGAAGAAACATACAACTTATTACCATAAAAATAATTATGAAACTCTTGGTCAGTTAATAATAACTGATTAAAAGATTTTTGAAATTAATATTGCTTTAATCACCATACAAATTTTAATTTTATATTATTGCAAAAACACTCAACCTTATACTTCAGTGCAAATCTTAATAATTAATATTCTTATATATTCTTATAAAGTATTTATGAGAGGCTTTAAACGCATATGTAAAAATGATTAAGTTGAGGATTTTTGGCTAATCGAATTGATTTACTTGATAGTTCGAGCGTACCTTTGGTATATTGGGTCAGCACTGCTATATGGCTGGTTGTGACAACAGCACACTAAGCACTAAATCTATATACATGTATATAAATGAAACTCAGTCATTTTGAACTTATATTTCTAACATATTTATGCTACTATTTTCAAACTATTTCTAGTCTTCCCGGCATAATGTGTAAAGCTGTACCATACTAATCTGATCAGGCTGGTTTCGAATATAGATCAGTATTTTACAACTACACATAAATATAGTATTTTATAGAATTTTAAATAAGACAAGAAATGAAATACTGCTCATTTTTTTTTATTGTTTCGAATTAATTGTTTAAAAAAAAATATATAATCAAGAAATGGTATTATAAGCAGTAAAAGAATTATTTAAAAAAAAATTGTATATTATTTTTTTAAAAATGGTATTTTAAAAAAATAATATACATTTCTTTAAAAAACAATTCTTACTTTTGTTCACTCAAAAATTTTTTTGTTTTACTTTTTTTTTTCATTTAAATTTAAATTTAAATTTAAAATAGTAGATAACTTAAATTGTTTATTTGAAATGGTCTATGGGCCTGCGATATTTGGCAACCGCCAAAGTGAACGGTTGCAAATACACTGACTTAGCCACACGTTTTATTTTTTCGAAGACATACTCCCAAGTTGTTTTATTTGCGATATTCTGTCGTATTAATAAAAATCCGGCATCGGCCATTGATTGCAAAAATTGTTTTTCATTGTCCTGATCTGAATAAACGTCGATTATAGCAAGTTGACCACCGTTTTTAATTAGCCTATTCGCTTCTAAAATAAGAGTTTGAAAGTCTTGCCCATATAATGTGTGGTTATATATTAATAGATCATAGCTGTTCGATTTGAAAGATGTCTGAGCAAAGTCAATCTCATCGCATTTTTTGATTATATCGACCGTCTGTAGTAATTTTTTAAAGGGCTTGCTATTTATTTTTCCCATCACTATGACTTTACTTTCGACCGGTAAACGAGTAACGAGTTTATAGACAAACTGTGTGTGCGGGTCCAAGTTCTTTACTTCCTGAGGAATGTCAGTTTCACTTTTTTCGCACTATGTTCCAATAAATAAAATTGAGTATATATTTTAATAAAATATGTAAACAAATTAAAAATAAAATAAAAAAAATTAAAATCAGAAAAATATTTTACCATGTCTAATCCATGCCCATCAGTTGTTTTCAGCACTAGTTTCGCACTTTGCTGCTTTCGTTTGGGGAGTTTACGGCGAAGTGCTTTAGCTTTTCTTTTCTTATGGATTTTGCGCCAAGCCTTCTTTACCACCGCTGGTGTCTTTCGCTTGACTCGTTTGGTTACTGGACGAACTACATTTGCTTTTTTTTTCTTGTTGACTTTTGACATGGCTTTTCTTATAAGTGCGGGTTTTTTGCGTTTCAACCATTTTTTACGACGGTTAACTGACTGTCTCTCCACCTTTTTTCGCTTAGTTAATAGCCTACCAAAGTTGTTGCGAGCATTAACAATCTTGTTTACCGCTGAAAGGACCGATCTATCAGAAGGTCCCGTTTTCGGTGGTGGAGGAAGTTGATACACAGTCTGCTCGACATTTTCTCCCTTGCCTTTGTATGAATTGTACACAAAAAATCGAGCAGATTTTTTCTTCGGCTGAAAAAGAAGCATAAAGTTATATTAATTTTTATATTTATCTTTCATTTAGTTTTTCTATAGTACATAAAAATTTTCTGATCTACATAAGTGCCTAATCAATATACTGTTTAAAAACTAAAGAAACACAGTTAAAGAACCGAATCATTAAAATAAAGTAAAAAAGGGAAAATGAATTTAAAAAAATGTCAGAGATGAAGTTGGAACTGGTAGAACTCCCGAAAATATACTTTATACATTTGAATAAAATGGCCTTGTCTCTTCTTTCTCGAGAATTACTGTGAAAATACTGTGAAATAGCAATAATAATCCCGTATCGAATTTTAGGTAGTAATCGTTATTATTGATGAGGGTACAAAAATAGATGAATGCTGCGGCAGTTTTGAAAGTGCAGTGGCCAGAAATCAATCAACTTTTCGAGATATAAGCTATATTGCTGCTAGCCGGTACATACTATGTTTTGCCATCATTTGGCGTCAAATCCACTTTAGATTTTTTTTTTTTGATAACATCACGTTTGCTACACACGGTAATTTTAATATTATCATTATTTGAACTTTACTTTGTAGGAATGTAGAATTAAACTATTACTGTAACTATTAAATTACAGAATTTACCCTAATATACGTGACCCTAATGATATGTTTTACTGCATTATAGTCTTATCGAAAGATGCGTGGATGTGTACCACTCAGTGAATTGCTGAAAAATTTATTCTCCCGAAATTAATACGGATTATTGAATCAGCTTTCTTCAAAAAACAATAAAAGGTACCATGATTTCATTCTTTGGTTATACAAATATATTTATTTATTTTCTAAAGTCTTGAACCATTCTACAGGTGGGCTATCGAAGGGACACCAATTTGTCGTTACTACATCGTTATACAACGTCCTATGTATTGTAATATGCACTGCAAAATAAGCTATATACTATTATTAATAATTAGGTACTCAAGGCCAAAAGCGGTTTTATAATTTATAGAAAGCCATGTTTACAGATTTATATTAACATTATTTTTAACTTAAATTTTTGGCCATTATTCATGTCTCTATACTCCTCAATTTTATCTGTCTTGTACCCTTCTTACGTTCATATTTCAAATCTGAAAACGTCTTATATATTCCCTGCTGATGAGTAGTGAAAATTGTCTTACATAGTTGCTGTAAAATTAGAGGCACAAAAAACGCACTAGAAAAGAAAAGTTACTCAACGTCAACGATAAGATATGGAAAAAATAAAAACACTAATTATTGCATATCAAACTGTCCTCTAAATTGAATTTATTTCACTAACAAAGTAAGCCCTTTCGCTCCACTCACCAAATGGTTAATACTTATCTTACCGCCATTATTTTAATTAAAAAAAGAAAAACTTGAAGTGCCAGTTAACTGCACCAAAAAATAATAAAAATTAATCTAATAAAATATTTTTGTACAAAACAAAAACGTTTAAAATAAATTTGGAATATATGTATTAAACTTTAAAAGTGCATACCAGGGTGACATGCGGAAGAAAAATCTGCTCGATTTTATTGCGCTTCTCAGTTTTCGTTAAAGGCTTCTTTATTGTTTTGCGGACATTGCGCGGTAAAACTTTTTTCTTGTAAACCTTTTTATTTTTTCTCTTTTGAGCAGGCCGCTTACGTTTATATTTGTTAATCTTCGGCTTTCTACCCCCACCCCGCGGTATATATTTTTTTTTAGCCATGACCTTTTTTTTTCGTTTCTTAACAATTGGCTTATGTTTACGTTTTCTTGTTTTTGGTTTCTTACGTCCACGTTTACGTTTTACAATCACTGCGCCCACGCGTTTTTTCTTATTGGCCTGTCTTTTAACTCTTACGTACGTCTTGCGTTTTCGTATTGCTGAGAAACGAGGCCTCTTATATGATTTTAGCACTTTTGGAACGTGATAGACTATAGTAGAGGCAGATTTTGGATTACCTCTTCCAGATTCGCTTCTCTTAGCGGTTGTACGGGTTATTGCAAAATGTTTGAGAAGCGATTTTTTGGTTTTCTGAAAAAAAATTATTACCATTAAAAAAGATCTTAATATTGGTTTCTACTATTAAAATACCTTTTACTATATCAAAATAAATACTTACTATCTAACACTACAGTATTGTTTTTAATTAGCGAAAGAAAGCAATTCGTCAGCTCCAGCAATAATTGCCGTAAAGATTTTTCGTAAAAATTTTAGCATTCATCTAGGACAGAGCTGTCCAAAACGAGGCCCGTGACCCACATGCGGCCCGTGGCTAATGTTTATTCGCCCCGCGACATGTTTTTAAAAAATCTACAACAGTTACGCAAATTTTCTTTTGGTGTATTGGTAAATCCATATTTTATTTTTATGGTATACCAAATAAATGAATTTAACATTATAACCGTATTTTTATTTTTATCGAAAACAAGTATAAGCGTATGTATTTGTATCTGCGGCCCTCCACTCTGTACAGTGATTTGTATTGACTCACGATAGCTTCTGGTCTGGACAGCCCTGATCTAGGGGATAACTTTCAAACTGACTTTCTAAGGACTCAAAGAAATAAAAGTTTGGCTCCAGCAACAACAATGTGTTATGAAGTTTTATAAAATAAATAATTTATAAGCTAAACATATGGTTTAAACAGTATAGAGATGAGATTAACTTATTCTTTAATTATTTTAGATTGATCGTAAGCGTAACTATTTAAATAAAAATTGAAATTAAATGAATTAACTGCAAACAATGAACTGGATCTTGTTTACGTTTGTTCCTGGTTTTATATTCATACTATAACGTATCATATAAAAAAATTGGGTTAAGAACACTTTTATTTTGTGTATATATTTCACTCTAGTTCATATTCACCAAATTCAATTGCTAGCTCATTACTTTCTAATGGCTTCCACTGTTAATTGATCATATCATCGTGTGCTGAAACCCAGTTTATATATCATATCACATTACCCACACCACTTTGATTCAAACCAATCGAACTACTTTCGACGGTTTACTGACTGCAACGGTTTAAAATACAGAAAATAATAATACAATGTATGTCGTAAAGGATTCACGATATATAACATTCAAATCCAATACAAAAAAACAAATTTAATAAGACTAAGATATACAGCCAATTACTTACGACTTTTATTAACTAAAAACTATCTAAGGATATGTAAGGATTAAAGGTATTTCGGTATCTAAAACGTTGGTTAGAATTATTTACGAAAACCAACATTTGCCATACACTTGCAACGCTGTGAAAATGATACCCACACTTCCCCAAATTCTTTTGGGACATGGGTTTCAAGAATGTCCGAGAACAGCGGCGACATCACTAAACAATTATATAAACACGAACGTAAACTAAGAGTATTATAAAAAAAAATAAAATAACAAAAAGAAACTATGCTACGAGAACACACTCTCACTCCAACACAAGTGATGTACAAGGCCCGTACACGAAACGTTATTCAAGACAATTTACTCAATTTTAATTTTTGTCTCCATATCTTCTATTAAGTTGAAGAATCAATCTATTTTCAACTACGTATTTACATGTACTTAAAATGGTGGCTACTATAAATTAATTATAAAAAGAAACAATAAATAATTATTTTTCAAATGCTATAATCATAAGGTAGAAGAATTACAACAACATAAGACATCTTGTAATATATACATTTTCTTGACGGTCTGATAAAAATAGATCACCAGTGTTACTGAAGTACCTATTGTTACAAAAATTTATTGCAGAGGAATACTTTTATATTCAGTAATGAATTTTTATAAAAACCTTTCACTCTTAAATATTTTTATTAATATTAATATTTATTACATTTTATAATATGTTTTGTTTTATTTAATCATAAATTAAGCAAGCTTTGGTATATGAAGATTACCTACCTGACCAGGGAGTTTTGGCATATATATTTCGTGAACTTCCTTCGACTTTTTTTCTGGCATTCTTCTCTTTTTAGTTTTAACCGAAAGATGTTTTTTGATCCTTTTGCGATTTTGGGTTGATAACCCAGGTTTTTTTATAGCTGAAATCTTCTTCTTTTTTTTTAGTACTTTCTTAGGTTTTTTTTTTGCCTTTGAGTTTTAAATGTATTTATTAATATAATATATAAAGTCTATATATATATATTCTTAAATATATATAAAAGCTAAATATGAGAAACGTTTTATATAAGGACTTCAGTTTTGTTTTAATTAATCATAAATAAAGTAAACTGTGGTATGTAAGGATAACCTACCTGAACAGGGGGTTTTGGTAAAAATATTTCGTGAGCTTCCTTTGACTTTTTTTCTGACACCATTTTCTTTTTAGTTTTAACTGAAAGATGTTTTTTGATCCTTTTGCGATTTTGGCTTGATAACCCAGGTTTTTTTATAGCTGAAACCTTCTTCTTTTTTTTTAGTACTTTCTTAGGTTTTTTTTTTGCCTTTGAGGTTTAAATATATTTATTAATATAATATATAATATATATATATAAATATATACTTAAATGTATATACTTAAAATTGATGTGAATATTGTCATAAAAGCTAAATATGGGAAACGTTTTATATAGGGCTTCAGTTTTGTTTTAATTAATCATAAATGAAGTAAGCTGTGGTATGTAAGGATTACCTACCTGAACAGGGGGTTTTGGTAAAAATATTTCGTGAGCTTCCTTTGCCTTTTTTTTTGGCATCCTTTTCTTTTTAGTTTTAGCCGAAAGATGTTTTTTGATCCTTTTGCGATTTTGACTTGATAACCCCGGCTTTTTTATCGCTGAAATCTTCTTCCTTCTTCTTAGTACTTTCTTAGGCTTTCTTTTTTTTGCCTTTGGAATTTAAATATATTTATTAATATAATATATAACTACTTAAAATTGATGTGAATATTGCCAAAAAAAGGTGAATATGAAAACGTTTTACATAGGCACTTCAGTTTTGTTTTAATTAATCATAAATGAAGCAAACTATGGTATATAAGAACTACCTACCTGAACAGGGGGCTTTGGCAAATTTATTACACGAACTTTTTTCGTTGACTTTTTTTTTGACACATTTTTTCTTTTAGTTTTGGCCGAAAGATGTTTTTTGATCCTTTTGCGATTTTGGCTCGATAACCCCGGCTTTTTTATCGCTGAAATCTTCTTCCTTCTTCTTAGTGCTTTCTTAGGCTTTCTTTTTTTTGCCTTTGGAGTTTAAATTTATTTATTAATATAATATATAGCTACTTAAAATTGATATAAATATTGCCAAAAAAACCTGAATATGAAAACGTTTTACATAGGCACTTCAGTTTTGTTTTAATTAATTATAAATGAAGTAAACTGTGGTATGTAAGGATTACCTACCTGAACAGGGGGTTTTGGCAAATTTATTTCGGGAACTTTCTTCGATGACTTTTTTTTGGACAAATTTTTTCTTTTAGTTTTGACCGAAAGATGTTTTTTGATCCTTTTGCGATTTTGGCTTAAAACCGATGGTGTCTTTACAGCTAAGATTTTTTTCTTTTTTTTTAGTGTTTTACGCTTTCCTTTTTTTGCCTTTGGGGTTTGACGTACACCTTCACTATTTTTCAAACCTTCACTCTTTTTTTGTTTTCTTTTACGTGCCTTTTTTTTATTTTTTGGCATTGGCTTTTTAGTTGTATTTCCAATTTTTGGAAGACGATATACAATTTGGCTAGCACATTTTTTTACTTTTCTCTTAACAGGACGCTTTATTTTCGTGTTAAAAGCAAAGTGTTGCAAAGAAGATATTTGTTTTCCCTAAAGAAATATTTTAAAAAAATTAATAAATATATTATCTTTATGGTATATATCAGAAAAATTATGTCACGACTTTTAATTATGCAACATTAATTGTTTGCCGAGTTTAAACGGACTTCGGACTAAAAAATTCTCTATTCGGTTTTCGAGCATCTGTATTAAAATCTTCCATAAAAGTTATATTATGGTGGACCTGAAAGTGCGAACCAATTTTTAATTGGATACATATGTACGTATGTACGTATATGTATATACATGATGATATATGATATGACACATAAATTTAAATGATGTGCAACAAGTATAAAATATATGTTTTTGTTTAGAACGTTACTGTAGAGAACTGAAAACATTAGCATCTACTCTTAAATATTTTGTTTTGAATTAGCCTAGTACTGATACATTTTAAGCTGTGATATCACTGTTGCGAGAAACTATGGTTTTTAAGGCAGTAAAATTATATGCATGTCGTAAGTCTTTTAATATAAAACACAAAAAAAATTTTAGTTCCGTCATTCTCATGAGCTTATATCTACTTCAATGGGTATAGGCCCATGTCCTCAGTATATTGCCAGTTTATAAATTCTAAATTATTAGAATTTATTTTTTTTACTTCGTAAAATTTTGTAAGAAATATTTGTTCTTATTATTTGAATTTTATTTGGATATTGCATACTATCTATAAATCATACCTGTGTACGTTTTTTTGTTTTTGGAATATATATTTCAAGAATCTCTTTTTCAGTTGTTTTATCGGCTTTACTTGAAAAAGGTTTTTTGATTCTTTTACGCTCATGGCTTGGTAAATGAGTTTTCTTAAACACCGGTTTTTTCTTTGGTTTTTTCATTTTAACCGGTTTAGTGCTTAGATGCTTACATACAGTTGGCTTCGGCACTGGATAGACGATATTACCATTAGAATTATAATAGGGTTTGTTTGTATTTGGTTTCCTATTGTTATCTCTACCACGTTTATATTTAGGTTTATATTTCTGATGGTATTTCGTAGCTGCCTTTTTAGGACCCTTTTTGGGACGTTCCATATTTACGTTTGCGATCTCACAGTTTCCTTTACGTGTTTCTTGACATTTTTTTGGCGTTGCATTTTCTTTCTCATTTTCTTGATCTTCTATTTGATTCTTTTTGTTTAATTTACCTTTAGCTTTTTCTGGTTGCTTAGACCTTTTGACATCATATTTTTTGCCGTAAGGTTTCGGCACACGTTGACTAACTCCCATTTTCTGGAAAGAAAAAATACAGACGCTAAGTACGCTAGATTGAGCATAAGATTAGGGGCTATTTTATCTGGACAGTTATGGTCAAGTTTCGATTTATATGATGAGAGTGTTGAGAATTAAAATTATACATCTAATAATATATATATAATTATATATTTCTACAAGTAGCTTCATGAAAAACGTGCTTCCACATTAAAAATTTAGATGAATTAAATAAATTGATGAGTGATAATGGGCGAAAATATTAAATTTCAAGCTCGAGGATGATTAATGATTTTATTTATTCAAGATAGAGGTCTAATATTAGTAGGTGCGTTATATATATTGAACATACAAAGACTTAACGTGCGTTGTAAAAACTCTAATATCAATACAAACACTTAAATACTTTTACATTAAGACCGAAAAGTTTTCGGAAATTCTCATTTAAAATTCGCGCGCTGTATATTTTTCGATATTTTAAGTTTATGTAGTTTGGCAGAAATTAAGGACAATTACTATGCCAAAAATGAGCGCGATCTGTCAGACAGTTCGTTTACGGCAGCTGTTGAAACCAGTTCACCTCAGTAGTGCGTTGCGAAAAAAACAATGGAAAAAAATATTGAACAAAGAGTTTGCATCAAATTTTGTGTTTCGAACGAAATTTCGTGTGCAGAATCGTTGCGAATGCTACAAAAGGCTTATGGGGAATCAGTTTTATCGAAAACTCAAGTTTATGAGTGGTACAAAGCCTTTCAGGACGGTCGTACGACCGTCAAAGACATTTCGCAACGCACTACTGAGGTGAACTGGTTTCAACAGCTGCCGTAAACGAACTGTCTGACAGATCGCGCTCATTTTTGGCATAGTAAATAAGGACAGTGCTGCCAAACTACATAAACTTAAAATATCGAAAAATATACAGCGCGCGAATTTTAAATGAGAATTTCCGAAAACTTTTCAGTCTTAATGTATATTTCTGTTAAAATAAGTAAATAAAAGTAATTTTAATGCAAAGTTCTATATGTTGATAAATAATCCAACACAGTATTATTTATAAGCAAAGGAAAAATAAATTAACCCGTACCAAATAAGATACTAAATAAGGCGAAGCACATACCAAATAAGGCGAAGCCCGTACCAAATAAGGCGAAGCCGGTACCAAATAAGGCGAAGCCCGTATTATTAGGAAGCCGGTTTTAACTACTGATTTTAGTGAAACTCAGCTCATACTACTATTGTATAAAATGAAAATGATAATTATTAAAAAATAAAAAATTTTTTGTTTCACTAACTTAATGCATCTTCGAATACCTTTCTCTCACCGACCTGACTGAGTTTATAGAACTGTCAGGTTGGTTTTCCTTTACCTAATTGTGTACTCGTTACCTTTTCCGGCGTTGGCTGTATACTGATTTAAATCTATGTACGTACCAATGCTGCTCCTGTGATACCACAATGGGCCATTCTATGAGCTCATGTGGGCTTAATGCATCAGCTGATATTGTCATGGTAATATTACATCTTCATCATTCATTTAATGAGGTCATGATTATATTTTGCAAAGTTTCAAGCTTAGTTTAAACTCTCTATCGTTTGTGGATATTTTAAAGAATTTAGGACAGGCACTAACGCGAAGAATAAAAGATGTTGATATATCACTAGGAAAAATATGACGAGGTGAGAGGATATCAGAAAATATACAATATAAAATTTGAAAATCTTGCTTTTAATGTGAGGTGCAAATTTTTCCAAATAAGAGATATTTTAAAGATGTTTGCACCTAATTTTGTATGAGCTCATATTAGGTACTTATTTTGAAGAGTCGTTTTCTTATGTAGTATAACGAGTTCTTCAGCACCTCATAAAAATTCTAACAGCTTTATATAAAAAGTATAAAGAGTGTAAAAAAAATATAATGAAGAACTCAAGAATAATGTGGTGATATCACAACGAGCTCCCGACTTTTCCAACGCTTTCTTTATTGCTTTATTCTTTATTACTTTCCCATTATAAGTTTTATTTAATTATTGTTTGGTTAAAAAAAAATTACTATTGTTATTCCAAATGATTAATTCAACAATTAAAATATAGAGAAAGAAAATTAATATATATGCACATACCAATGAAAATAATATGGATCCTTCTGAAATCGATTGTCCAAGTTTTGAATTTCCTCTTAAAATTTTCAAATAAAACTCATCCGTAATTTGCTAAAAGTATTGAAACATTATTTTTTTTTAAATTTGTTTTCAAATAAAGTATTTTAAAAATATTGACAGTAATTTCAAACAAAATGTCATTTTTTACGCTCAAACTTCAATGTAATATTTTTCTACCGGTTCAATGGAATCAAAAAAGGCAAATCCCAAATGTGAACAGATGAGAAATTTATTGAAATTATAAAATTTTTTTAAAACTTTTACCTTCCGTTTCTTGAACTGAACCCAAATACAACTAGCTGACAACTACTTTTTATTACGAAAAGCTATAAAATTTCGAAAACTTCGAATTCGAAAACCTGAAGTGAAACAATGATATAAAATTAAACATTGATGTAATTGATAGTAAAAACTAGAAACTAACATTCAAAAGAAAGTTAGATAGAAAAGAAAGTCTACAATACGGCTGTGTTGCCAAACTTGACAACACAGTGTTGCATTTGTACAAAATTATTATAAATATTAGGTCTGCTCCACAAGCTACTCGTAATAACTTTGAGTAACACTGTATATACACAAGTACGTTCCATCAGCAAATTTTCGAGTAAATGAGAGTATCTAAGAGAGCGTAACATCCCTGTCGAAATTTGAAAATGCTACACAGACTTTACTCGTAAATTTAATTTCAAGAGTAATTTGGTACTTTACGCTCTCAGTTTGTACTTTACTTGTGTTTTACTTGAATTTTACTACAAGTAGCTCGTGGAACAGACCTACTAACTCAACTTGAAAATTTTACTTCAATTTTATAATAAAAAAAAAATGATACGAGTGTATCACAATACCTTCAGATATTGTATTTTTTCCAATACAAATTAGGATAAAAGTATAGATCTAGACTAGTTGAATACTTTAATGATACTGATATGTTAGATTTTATTAAAACACGAAAATAAGCAAAATGCGGAAAAACTATTCAAAATTACTTAACATTTTTTTAAAGATAGATCGAAGAAAAAACGTGTTAAGACATTTGTGTTAAGATTTTTCTAACTATTTTCCAACTATTTTTTATATTGAAAACAATTCGTCGGCCTATCACCAATTATTTCGTTACAAAATCCCTAAGTGACATAGGTCATAGGTATGTCAAACTGTTGGAGAGAAATTTCATTTAAAATTTTTCCAAAACAGTGTTAATCAGTAATAAGTGACAGCATTTTCACACTTTCGGATCTTTTGTGCATATCTATAATATAGAAAATATTACTTTTTAAATATGACAACCAAATAGAATCGAAATCGTAATTTAAGTACGAAATTGAAAATTGTAATATGACTTAATAGTCCTGACCATTCATCATATGATTCTCTGCATATCATTACCCTTAAAAAACGACAGCTAATTATTATTCTTCTAAAGAATTTGTTTACTCAAACGCAATATATTTGGATTTTAAGTCATAGAAACCTATCCACTCTTGAAGCGTTTAACAGCAGCTGATTAAAACTAGAGAATGGTGCAATATTATTGTGTAAAAATGGTATAAAATGGACAATAGTAACAGTTTGTGACATGATCAAAATATAAAATATAATCCATTATAAACTAATAAAAACACAACAAAAACCCTATCAGGAGGAAGAAGTTGTATTTTAAATCGATTGTATTAGGCCATATATACTACCGGTGATACTGGATTTCTTGACATCACACCGGCAGAAACTTTGTCAAAAAAACACAATGATTCAAACAATAAAATTCTTTACAAAATCCAAAAATCTGTTCCCACATTTTTCTTAACCCTACCAACTATAACATGGAGCACATAGGCATCCAGAATTGTTTATGTGTAGTAAGTTTAGTAGTAAGTTAGATATGTCTAAGAATATATCACAACAAAAAACATATATAAGAATAAGCACGCTACTTACAAATTTCTCGATTTCTCTTTTGCTTCCGCTAGATAATAAATTTCTGTAATTACCCACAATTTTCAGAAACTGTTCTGAATTTTTATTCACAAATTCATTAAATATTTATTTTATTATATATGAAACCATATTCATAGAGAACTAGATTTACAATTTTGAAATTTTGTCAGTTAATCAGAGTATCTTTTATAAAATACTGTCAGTTGTATTTTTATCATATTTTAATAATACAAATTTATATAGGGTGTCCCCTGAGTAAAGCAAATGAGTGCAGGAAAAGATTTGTATGTAAGACCATTCCGGTTTTACCATAAACCGAGACTGAGCTTGAGTCTTAAAGAAAATGTATCCGTAAAATACCCTCAATCAATAAACAGTGACTTATCTCAAAACTGGCTTATTTAAACATCTATAGTGATCGTGAGGTTTTAAGGAAAAACTACCGAACTTTTTAAAAAAAAAATTAAATATCAATCATTTATCGTAACATTGTGATATGGAACTGAATGTTTATAAAGTGCCTGAAAAATCTTCTCCTGGAAGCTGTCAGTCTTAGGATACTCACAACCAACCATCTTAACATGGAACGGTGCACTGAAGACCAAGATTAAACTTTTAAGTGTTTTATAAATCAGATTCTTTAAAAAAATTTTAATAACTTAATATAACAAAAAACATATATAAGCATAAGCACGCTACTTACAAATTCCTCGATTTCTCTTTTGCTTCCGCAAGATAATAAATTTCTGTAATTACCCACAATTTTCAGAAACTGTTCTGAATTTTTATTCACAAATTCATTAATTATATATTTTTTTATATTTGAAAACATATTCATAGAGAACTAGATTTACTATTTTGAAATTTTGTCGGTTAATCAGAGTATCTTTTATAAAATACTGTCAGTTGTATTTTTATCATATTTTAATAATACAAATTTATATAGGGTGTCCCCTGAGTAAAGCAAATGAGTGCAGGAAAAGATTTGTATATAAGACCATTCCGGTTTTACCATAAACCGAGACTGAGCTTGAGTCTTAAAGAAAATGTATCCGTAAAATACCCTCAATCAACAAACAGTGACTTATCTCGAAACTGGCTTATTTAAACATCTATAGCGATCATGAGGTATTTTGGAAAAACTACCGAACTTTTTAAAAAAAAATTAGATATGAACCATATATCATATAGTGCCTGAAAAAGCTTCTCCTGGAAGCTGTCAGTCTTAGTATACTCACAACCAAACATCTTAACATGGAACGGTGCACTGAAGACCAAGGTTAAATTTTTAGCTGTTTTATAAATCAGATTCTTTAAAAAAATTTTAATAACTTAATATAACAAAAAACATATATAAGCATAAGCACGCTACTTACAAATTTCTCGATTTCTCTTTTGCTTCCGCTAGATAATAAATTTCTGTAATTACCCACAATTTTCAGAAACTGTTCTGAATTTTTATTCACAAATTCATTAAATATTTATTTTATTATATATGAAACCATATTCATAGAGAACTAGATTTATAATTTTGAAATTTTGTCAGTTAATCAGAGTATCTTTTATAAAATACTGTCAGTTGTATTTTTATCATATTTTAATAATACAAATTTATATAGGGTGTCCCCTGAGTAAAGCAAATGAGTGCAGGAAAAGATTTGTATATAAGACCATTCCGGTTTTACCATAAACCGAGACTGAGCTTGAGTCTTAAAGAAAATGTATCCGTAAAATACCCTCAATCAACAAACAGTGACTTATCTCGAAACTGGCTTATTTAAACATCTATAGCGATCATGAGGTATTTTGGAAAAACTACCGAACTTTTTAAAAAAAAATTAGATATGAACCATATATCATATAGTGCCTGAAAAAGCTTCTCCTGGAAGCTGTCAGTCTTAGTATACTCACAACCAAACATCTTAACATGGAACGGTGCACTGAAGACCAAGGTTAAATTTTTAGCTGTTTTATAAATCAGATTCTTTAAAAAAATTTTAATAACTTAATATAACAAAAAACATATATAAGCATAAGCACGCTACTTACAAATTCCTCGATTTCTCTTTTGCTTCCGTTAGATAATAAATTTCTGTAATTACCCACAATTTTCAGAAACTGTTCTGAATTTTTATTCATAAATTCATTAATTATATATTTTTTTATATTTGAAACCATATTCATAGAGAACTAGATTTACTATTTTGACATCTTGTCGGATCAACAATAAATTTGTATCTTTCATAAAATACTGTCATTTGCATTCTAATGAGGTTTACGAAATGACTATTGCAATCAGCCTCATAGTACGATGCACTTAAAATTACTAAATTATAGACATTTTTTTACTGTATATATTTTATTATAAGCACAGAAACAAGCATTCAAAAAGTTTTAACATAAATATTTCTTGTATCTACAATCGGCCTTTTCTTTTGTAAGCATATTACAAAAGAACAACTGCTTATTTTAAAAATAACATATGAAAGAACAACACTGCTCGCTTATTAAATCCGACTTTTTTGAAATTTCTTAACTAGAACGTGTGCGAGTTAGGCTAAGTTGATGCTAAATCAAATGGGAGATTTTCTGGGATTTTTTGCACTGCACACATTTAGCCATTTATGAACACGTATCGACACATCACTACATTAGCACAATTTTATTTCAAACGTGCTGTCTTTAAAAGCCCAATAACATCTGTTGGCAACGGTTTATTTTTGACCTATTATTTTATTAAGAAAGAGGTTAATTTAAGAGGATATGAGGAATCGGTCACCTTTCAGAAAACATGGGTTATATTGTTTAAATGTTCCGTGGAGCATGTGACTGCATATCATATTAATAATATTTGTTGTATGCCTCCAATACGATTACTGATTCTAGTTTCGGACTAAGGAAGACCATAAAATACTATACAACAAGAACGAAAGTATATATTTTTCAATATTTACATCTTACAAACCTTTGCATTTAGTTTCACTTTCACTTTGAAAGAAATACAATATAATTTTATAAAAAGTTGTTTAAAGTTTTAATAGTTAAGCTGCATAAGGAGAAACATTAGGAGAAGAAGTTCAATCACTTAATATTTTCCGTATTCAAAGATGCAATAATGTAAGTTCATTTAAACACTATTTCTTAAAACTGTGATTGTGTGAATTAATATCTTTATAATAGAACTTTAAGCAAAAACAAAATCTTTTATAATATTTGTTGAATTCGAATTCTTTTACGTAAGGCGTTTCCGGTGGTTCACAATTATGGCAAAAAACAGCAAGTTGCTGGCCTATACTGGCTGAAATGTATGCAAAACAACAACACTATTTTCTCTATTTAGGCCAGTAGTTGTACACTGGCCACACACTTCGGCCAGTAAAGAAAAAAGTGTTACCAACGCAATAAGCGAACTATTGTGAACCTTCATTGAAAATTCCAACGAATATTGCAATCATATGTCAAAATTCATATATATGTAAACAAATATTCAAATAAAATTTCAATTTATATTAATTATTTAGTGATTATTTATTATATTTATGCAATGTTTGCTATTTTCCAAAATATAATACTGAATAAATTGCAACAGTGATGCCAATGCCTCTCTTAGCGAATATAAGCCAGCATGCGTTTTTTGCCACAGTAGCGAACCACCGAAAACGCCTATAGTTTAACATTACTATTGACTTTATTTACAGTTTCTATTATAGCTTAGTTATTTATTTAAATACATATTATTTTTATAAAAAAAATTATATGCTTTTAATTGGAGTTTATAACATGTTTAATATAATATAACTTTATGTATGTTAACTCATTTCTTAGCTGAAATATAGCAGAATCTTATTTAGCAAATTTCCAAATAGCAAAATTGTCGCAATAGCTTGTTATTGCACGGCTGGTCAATATGGTCCTTTATATTATACCAAACTATTACAATTATATCTATTTGAATACTCTTAAAAATGTCATCGTACTACCTCATACTACATATATGGTAATATGCTGATAGATGCAAACCTGCTGTCATTTTCTAAATAGGAATAGAAAAAGTTTACTGTCAAATATCTGTCAATTGAATTTTTAAATATATATAAAAGTTGTAATAGAAAAATTTAGTTCTATAGAAAGTTTTTCAAACTAAGCTGCTAAATATTCGGAAGAGAATTATAGTCCATCAATACTTTACATATTAAGGATGCAATAATGTAAGTTCATTTAAACTCTGTAACTTAAAATTGAGCCTTGATTTCTTAACTTTATTGAGTAATTGTGTAAATTGGAACCTTTAAAGTAGAGCTGCCATTTTTATAATTTGTAAATTTAATCTCGAATTTATTATAAAAATTAAATAGGTAAATTAGAATATTGGAATAGATTTAGTGAAACTTTAGTATGACATTTATAGAATATTTTCGAGAGTTCTGTCTGTAACAGTTATTTAGTTTATACAATACGGCTGTCAACTATCACTAAGACACTTGAGCCGGGCTAGTCGCTGTAACATTGGTTTATTTTATCATTTTTCCCTATTTGGAATATAATATTAATTATATTCGCTGTTTTGAAGAAATCGCTTACGGGATTAGCGCCTCCATTAGAGCGCGTTTAAATTATTTACCAGCTCGTTGGTGAATATCATTTCTATTATGTTCGTCGTTTTCGAGACGTGTGATTTTCGGGGTTAACGCCTCTATTGGAGGATATAATTTCACAATTTTTTTTTTAATTTTGTTGAATATAACTTTTACGCGATAAAAAGATAATTATATATGATGTTCGATTAGAAATTGCTTAATTGTAAAATTAATTATGATAAACATATTATTAAAATAAAAAATATATATAAACATACATACATATTCTGCATGAATACAACGTAGGAGTGTTCAATAAAATGCTAAATATTAAATTTATATAACAAAAGATAAAGAACCAGTTAAAAAAAGAGTAACCATGAAGATAAAACACCTTGACATGTAAACTTTTATCCGACTATAATTAATGCTCTTCAAGTACATGGAAGAGTCGATCTTTTCACCTGTCAGCTGCCACAAAAGCAGTGAATTTCAAGTTTCTCTTCGTGTTCTTCATATAGTACCTGCATTAGCCTTACCATTAATGCATTCGACTATGATGTGAAGACACATTTCTTCAAATAACTATTGGTTATTCACATGATCAATAACGAAAAACAAAAATTCGTAACGGTTATTTATATAAATTTATTTACATATTTATTTATTATAATTTATTAATTATAATTTATTTATTATAATTAATTCATTATAATTAATTAATTTATTCATTTAGTATAAGTCATTATCTTGTTTTCATTAATTATTTATATTAATTAAATTTATATATAAATAGATTAGCGTAGTTAATATATTTAAGTAAGTTAGACTATCAGCACAGAAATGCGTGGGGCTAAATACAGTTTATATATACTTTTATATTTATATTTTCTCCGGTGCTATTTTTCCAGTGGTTAGCCACAACTGTGTCCGGGTATTGTCATAGCACAATACACTGACGTCATGGCTTTGTAACTATGATTTGGTTACGAGGACATGACAGTGATAAAGCTCCAATTTGGTTGAGAAAATTGGAGAAAAATATACAGAATATTTTTTAATATGTAGTAAAATTTCTTATCATTTCAGAATATGGCCAAAACTCCAAAAAAAATGAAGGGTGCTAAAAATAAGGGTCGGCAAAAGAAAAAGCGGAAGCCTATAAATGCTAAACGTAAGACTCCTGCTAATTACAAGAAACCCTGCAACGTTCGCAAACAAATGAAACAATCAGTATCAAGTAAAACCGATGTCGACTGGTGTCCCAAAATATTTGAAATATTTATGCCTAAGCCCCCTATGCAGGTTTGTATTATCAATACTTCAATAAATTATTTTAGTTTGAAATTTTTTACACTTGGACTATGGCTTCAAATATTATATATCTGATTGAGGGATCGAACAGATTTTGCATTTTAAAACACGAATGAAAGCAAAGCAAAAAAATTTTGAACAAATCACTTATATTTCAATATTCTAAACTAAGCAGGACTAGAGAACCACTTCTTTAAAGTTTGTTCAAAATTGAGTTACAAATTATAAGAATATATTAAGATAGTAGGACAGTAATTGTGGACAATTAAAATTGAAGGTAATATTTGAGATCCCATTAAATAAAAACCGAGAAAGAGATCGTGAAGCAAAAAAAATATGATTAATTCCAATCTACACCTAGCTTCAGAACTCCACCTCATTGTTGACCAAAGGATTAGCTCAATTACGTTGAAATTTAAATGTGCAGTCTGATGTGATTAGGTGGGTGGGTTAAGTAACTTTCTAATATAAGCTTTTATACCTCAAATTAATTTGGTTCGGGATAGTTTTAACTCCTTGACGGCGCTATATCCTTTAAATCTCAAGCATCAGCCCATTAAAAACGAAGTTACAAAGCAAAGTTCTTGATCTCCATTACGAAATTCCATATTTCTAAAAGTCTTACATATATCGATGGTTCTACCTTTGTGAAAATTATAATATATTGAGCCAATTATGGTTACATGCTTGTATAACGGTTACTGTTATATGAGCATAATCTCAATGCAGTGCTAAAAGAGCTCTCCAATGCGAAAATGCTAACGATAATGACTGAGCAAGTTGATCAGTTATGCATTACTGTGATTTAGGAATCACCAAAAAGTCATAAATTTGAATACAGGTATCATGGACAGGCATTTTCCATAACGACGTAAGATATTGGATACTCCAATCACTCCATATATCAGATAGTCCGATAGTGCTTACTATGTTTTTATCTGTGAATAGTTTTTTGCAAAAGCATTCAACTATTCATAATTTGACAAAGAGATTAAGTGATCGTTCATTAAGTGTCCAAAGTGGTATACAGTACAATGCATCTGGGAGCAATGATTATTTTAGGTTAAAATAGCACTACGGGGAACAGGAAAGAGGGTAGAATGCTTTTAGAGAGGACTTATTATACGACTAGTTCGAAAATTTCGTTTATTTATGGTTATATAGATTTTAAAAAGTACTGAAAATGACTTCAGATGTCAGGCTGAATGGTGCCACAAAGAAGCAATACAGAATATTGACTACTTCAGGAAAATATATTTGTGCTTACACAATCACACCTGTTTTATTCAGTTTCTACAAAATAATCGAATTCGTAAGCAGTGTTTGATAGTTGAATTCGTAGAATAGCCGTAGAGCGTTCATCCAGTGATGCTAGGATCTAATTGCCATGATTGTAATTACTGCTACTAAAACTCGTAAATGTATTACGGTAATAATATTAAAAAAATATATATTCCGCATGTTCAAGTTCGTGGATGTAGCGACTAGTTTCTCTGGCTTCCGAGCCCTTGTAGTTTTATTCAGTAATTCTATATTATATAAATGAGTTTTATTAGTTTAGTTTATATAACAACTAAATTTACTTACTTACAATACAAGAAATTAGTTTCAATACATTTCTTAAATATCTCAAATTGTTTGTTTTAGAAAGCTGATAAACACCTCACTAAGCATTTTGTTTACACATCCGTTACTACAAAGGGTAAAGGAAAAAAACGTAAACAATATTCAGAACGAGTAGTGTACCAGCAACCTAAACCAACTCTTGAACCATGTAAGGAAGAAAGTACTGTGAATAACATCGGAAATATAATTTTTCCGCTGGGTCCATACCTCCCTCAACCATGTGAAATACCAGAATCGAGTCCAACAAATCGCCGCAAGAAACGTGCAAAGCAAAAGAAGCGTGCAGTGAAGAAGAAGGCAATATGCAAGGCTAAAAAAAAGCGCAAATTAAAGGCAACTAACCAAAAATTCCAGCAGCAACCCATACTTATGCAGGAGTCTATGGAGTCTGAGCCAGAAACGGTTGACGTATCCGAAACTGAGGTAAACAATATTTGCTTTCTTTAATAAGCTTTTACTATTCTCCCATTGCAGCTAAATCAATTTATATTAATCAATTAAGATTTGGTCGTTTCCATTGGTCGTTGATTTATATATATGAAAGAGCTTTTATGCGTCAGAAAGTTCTGTACAAGTTCTAGGGGAGCTTTTGTTTATTTACATTTCAATTGTTAACAGATAATATTGAGCTTTGTTTTTTTAGTAGAAATTTATTAATTTATTAATTTTTTTATGTCGAATTTAGTAAATTTCCTTTTAAGTAATATATTTGGCAATGCTGCATTCGACATTTTTGGTGTTATTTCACTTAATTTATTCTTAACTAAGTTGAAAAGCAGGAAAGCTTTTTGTAAGGTTAACCAACTTCATTAGCGACCTTAACCAAATAAGCTGCTTTAATGAATGGCAATGAAAACATACTATTATTCCGATATCGTAATTAATTAAGTAAAAAATTTTTTTCATTTCATGCTTTATTGAATCCTTCTTAACATAAGAAATTTACTTTAAATTTTCAAATCTTAAACTAAATATAAAAATTTAAAGCCTTAAAGGTTATTCGTAATTTTTTTTATTTTTTATTTATTTATTTATTATAATTAATTACAAAATATAACATTTTTTTTTAAAGATAGAAATGTAGTAAAATTAAACTAAATTATCAAAATATATTTTTAAATAATAATAATAATAATGAATTCAAATTGAAATCAACAGATCAATAGTGGTTTCTTTTTCAGACGTGAAGTTCTATATGTAGGAAATACCTGTCTGGCATATGGGTTGGGATGTACACTTAGCTTCGTATGATATTTCCCTATGTGTGCTCGGGCAACATCCTTTACTAGTGGAATGTTTAAATCCTTATGGATATTGGAGTTTTTTACGTACCACGGGGCTGCTGTTATTTTACGTGTGATGAAGTTTTGCACTCTTTGAATCTTTACAATATTTGTAGAGCAAGTTGAACACTATAAATTAATTCCATAAGTCCATATAGGTTTAATGATACAGTTGTATCGTAGGACATTGTTTTCGAGACTTAGTTTACTATTTGGATTCAAAAGCCAATAGAGCTGTATCTATATGTTTACTCCAAGTCAATCTATATAGAAATAATTTTATATTTTAAATATAATTAAAAATTTTTTTAATTCTGTAGCATAGTTAAGATTTATTATTTATTTTTTCTTACAGATTGAACAGGACAGAAGTGTATTTCCTCAAATCTCAAACTATGTTAAAAAAAAATTTAACGGGTTTTTTAACAATGTTTTAAACTTCATAAAGGGTACGCCACAATCTCCACCAGAACTTCCTGCACCTTTGGCACGTTTGTTGAAGAAGGAGTCAAAAAGCATGATACTTAACTCACAGTTTGTTTACAAACTTGTATGTGATTTGCCTTATAATAGTAAAGTTCTTGTTTTTGGGAGTATGCCTTCGAAACCATTTTCAAATATGTCCCAAACAGTACAAATAATTGAGAATGTGGATGAAATAACGCAAAGTCAAGGTCAATTTAAAAACTCATCTGCAGATATGATTGTTTTCAATCACTCCTTACATGGTTCGGATTTTCAACATCCTGTATTAGAAGCGAACAGGATTCTAAAATTAGGGGGGCAATTGGCACTCATTGATATATTTTGTGTTGAAGACAATAGTAGTAAATTTACTGATGCAATGGCCAAAGCCGGATTTAAACTAAAAAGTCGCAACATTGTCGATAAAACATCATACGAATATGTCTTCAAAAAGACCCGCCGCGTCACCAACCTAGAGTATATAAAGCCTTTCTGTTTGACGGTGGCTAAATACCGCAAAGTTTAACGGCAACATAATGTAGGAGTTCGCCACAAATAATACAAATTCAAAAAGTTTTACAAAATTCAGTGGTCAACATTTCAATATTCGCAGCTATTGTATATTTTAAAAAAAGTTTTAATTAATAAATATAGTATATTTTTAGAAATATATATATATTTAAAACATAAATCTGTGTCTTTCATTTTGTATAAAAAATTAAAATATGTATATAAGTAAGTATATCTATAAGGAGCAGGATCCATAAAGTGCGATCCTGAATTGTACATTACTTTAGGTAATTAAAAAATTAATTAAATTTCAAATAATTGGAAAACTTTGAATCCTTGAAACGTTTAGTATTATTAAGCTACACAATTTTTATGGAAAATATTCAAAAAAGCTTCTACTGCACTAACCATTTTTGTGTTACTCTATAAACAAGAATATAAGTCGTACCTAGTGAAAATCTAAGTCTGACTAAAATATGTAATATTTTTTTGCTTTAAATATTTAAATCAACTGAATATTTAAAAAAAAAATACTTAATGAAATATACAGAAATACTAAATGATAACAGATCTATCGATTTCATAATACAATATGCATATCAAGATATCTCACTTACCATAAATCTAGATTAGACAACAAGACATGTTCATCCGTAGACATGGATGGACAAATAGCAATACATAATTTCTATATACTGAAGACGTAAGGTTAAAAGCTCGAAATTGTGTCACCTCAAGAACTGAAGCACATTTAATAGACCGATTTTCGAACTACTCAATCTGCAGTTTTGATGTTGTTTACATAAAAACTACTGTGACTACATGTTAACCAGGATTCCAAATAGATATAGCCTTAAAATAGTTTTATTTCATAGGTTATATGCAGAGAAGCACCTCACTGGGTGCAGTTTCAGAGGATTGTTACGGTCCTATGCGCCACGAGTGGAAACGAATACTAAGAAAACAAAGCCGCAAACAAATCTGTTTTGTTTTAGTGCTCGTGAAATTCACTGAAGGTGTTAAGTCTTCCACCCGACTTACTGCGCACTAATCACCTGCCCTCTAATCTATTACACTTTATGAGGCACAAACCTCGCCAGTTCCTAGCCCTACATTTTGACGGCATTGCCCACTCCTCCTCTGTAATCCCGTTGTATAATCGTAGTTACAGTAATTTCCTACATAGAGTTTACTCTTAAATAATCCATTTAACAAAGTTAGAACAACTCCATTTACAAAATTACCAACATCAGAAATCTGTGCACACCTTTTCTTTATGGCTTAGATACATTTACTTGATAAATGTTAACCCTTCTATCATCTACTTAATTTCTTTCCCTATATTCTGGAATGAGATTCCCAACATCATCCTTTACGATCTCTTGCTTAAAATCTGTTCGCAATACATTGCTGAGAAAAAGATTTAGTGGGGTCAAGTCTCACACTGTAGTTATATGCTTTCTACTAACTGTAAAAAAAAAAAAAAACAAAAACAAAATAGAAGATAATTCATTCAATTTTGAAATATAGAAATAACATCAAAATACCTATAATTGCAGCTGTATTTTCAGACAGTGTAGTATTTCAGATTAATAATGGTTAATTTTCGAAATTCAAATAAATTCTGGTCGGACTTTGAACGCAATTTTGAATATTGTTATATGCTATTTCTCCTTCTGGCAATCCCACAAAATCAACGTTAACGATTTTATAATGAATTTTAAATTCTAAATGCATTTTTGAGAATATTTCATGATAAAAGTCCTTCGAATAAATTTAGGCTTTGAATGTTCAACATTTGCAATTTGTGTTCGAAAATGCACAAATGCATCGAAACTGCAAAACGAATTTGAATAAATGAGTCGAGGTCCGATAAAAACTTTCTCAAACAATAATGAAAAATAATTATTTTCACCGAAATTGAATACTTTTTTAACTGAGAATTGCAAATAATTGAAATTTTATTGTTCTCATGTATTATTTATAGAGAGAGTTTATGCATTGCCCCTGCATCTGTGAAGCATATTTCTAAACATCTCATACGACTATACATGGAACAAGTTATTTTGACTTCTTCTTAATGAAGAAGTGCAGAAGTATATTTATTGTTACCTACAGTAAGTAGGTACGTCACTTCAATCAGCAATTTCTATAATTACACATTTTTATTAAAATGTTCTTATTAATTTTTAAAAATAGTGCCATCCTTCCGCTCGATACTCCAGAATAACTACCAGTTTAAATTAGCACCTATAAAAATACTGCAAACATTCCTCTAGTTAAAATACCAACTTTCAAGTGATGTTGTTGTTATAACCCGCAGAGATCTGAAAGAAATTATATGCTGAATACATGGGTTAGGATGTGGATGGGTATTAGTTGTGTCAGAGACGAGGAGATTAATTGGGAGTAAGAGTAAATTGAGGATGGGTGGGACTTAAATTGAAGTCAATCACAATCGAGACGAATACATCTAGTCACGGATCCAAAGGTCAATTGTAGGTAAGAAAACAAATGCTTAACATCAAGAAGGTAGTGTTGCACACATTTTGTTACACATTGGAACTGTTTCGACTTGAAAGTCCAAGAAGACAGAGCTTTAAGAGCAACCTGACATCCAGAGTAAATAACAATTGTCGAATCAGACAGTTTTTTGAAGATTTTGGATCTTACGCTTAATTTGATTGCGTAAATTTTAGCTTGAAAGACACCTGGTAATTTGCCCAATGGCTCCGAAATTCTTGTGTTTGGTCCATATACACCAGCACCAGCACCATCCATTTTTAATGCATTGTGTACCAAACGAGCACATGACTATATCCTGGTCTCAATTAAGCTAGGATAGTTCAGCTGCAAAGGATTTGGAAGTCTGCACTAATAATACAGTTTCCTTATTCGTAAATAGGGAAGTGATCAGAAATGTAACTTAATATTATCTCTGAATGATATATGTATCCGGACGATATACTGTGTATCATTAAGAAAAAAATTGTTTTAATATATATTTAAAATATAAGATATATAATGTATGTGTTAATTCTGTCTTACCTCATGACAATGATACCTCTGATTCACTCCTGATTCACTTTTTAGAGAAATTTTAAATATCTATTGCTCAAAACGAACCTTCAATGAGCGCTAATGACATTTGACATGTCAGTCTAATATAGAAAAGCAAGTAGCAAAACGTAAACTCCACTGGTTAGATCACATTCTTATTATTATTACTATTGTTAGGAGATGTGGCACTGCGACCGTCGGGTCTATTGTGCTCCCTTCTCGCTTCAGAGTAGGTCGCTAAACCCTGTTGCGTCAAGATCGCATCCTTAAGATATGGGAAGTGATATACCACATCATGGTATTGAATGAAATACTTAAGTACGAAGGAATTACTTTAAGAACATTCTGGATCTATGTAGAGAGGAACTATGTATCAAGCGCATGGAAATCCTTTAATCCCCTTAAAAAGGGGCATATTTTGGAATAGAAATTGTGTGGTTTATCGAGAGCATACTATGCTAATATTTTTTAATAACAATTTTAAATTTTTCTAAAATATTAAATTACATTTAATGAGTGGGCATTGAATTAACATATATTTTTTCTGAAATATAAATTAATTCTACTGAAAGTTTTTGTTTGTTCAAGGCAATTAATTTATTCAATCGAGCTTTTAAAATTCAGTTCCTATCAAAATATTTTTCTTAAGCTTGGCATAATACGCACTAATAAATACAAATTTTTTTAATAAGTTTAGTTATAGAAAGTTATTTAAAAATAATTGAATAAAACAATAATATGCATTTATTTTATAATTCATAATTGTTTATTATTTTATTAATTTATGTTTATTTTCACAAAAATGTAACCATATTCTTTCACTGCATTCATTTTAATGGTAAACATAAACATAAATAGTTATTTTTCCATTGAATTATTAAATTTGAAAGAAAATTGAATTTAAATGCTTTATTCAGCATTATTTGTAATAATCAAGAATATCTCTATTGATAACACCTGCATATGCTGTGTATTTCTCAGAAGTGCCCGTTAAAGCAATAAATTGTTCGGCTACCTCCACAGCCACTCGTACTTGCGCTTCACTGGTACTCGCGCCTAAATGAGGAGTTGCTACTACTCTGGGATGAGCAATCAATGTTTTGGTTACTTCAGACTTAGGGGGTTCCTCCGAATATACATCAAATGCAGCTCCTCCACACTTGCCTGTTTTAAGAGCTTCAAGCACAGCTTCTTCATCAATTATGCCACCGCGAGCAACGTTAACAACTTTTACTCCGTCCTTGCATTTACCTAAAGTTTCAGCACATATCAAATCTAAATAAAAAATAATAATAATATAAAAAAATCAACATTTGTATTATTTCAGTTAGTATTAATGTTTCAGTACAAATATAATGATCAGACAAAACTACTTGCATGCAGTCACAGTAACTTAAATATAGTGTTTCAGTCACATTCTCTGTGACTGCCCAGCCTTGATCTGGGCCAGGAGAAGGTCACTGGGTCGAGAACTACTCTCCCCTTCTGACATTAGGAAGTTCTCAACGGCCGACATTCTGACTTTTATTCGAAAGGCAGAATGTCTTTTGTTCGGTTAGGGTCTGTTACAGCACAAAATATCAATTGTGGCCGCATTGCTCCGCTCCTTTGGGAGCTGGTACCTTGTTTATTCCTATTCCTATGAATTAGTCTTTTGAAAAAGGGACATATTTTAAGCTCACCGACAATTGCTTAATTGAAATGAAATTTACAAATAATGAATTTTAGGTAATTCTAGCTTTATATATATGTTAGAATATTAGAAGTAAAATAACTGTGATCGGCGTGGTAATATATAACTTCAAATCCACAAATGTATATGTATTGAACTCTTATATATAATAGGCAAGCGTACTATAACTTACTATATATAAGCGTACTATATATAAAGCATTCTTTAATTCTCATCGTTTTCAAACTTGTCAGGTTCGTTCAATTTGACTTGAATGGGGGAATCGTGTCTTCCAGTATTGTTCGTATACTAATCACTGTGAACTTTTTGGAAGTACTTCTGATCTGTGTCTGAATAAAGTTTATCCATTGTATCACAATAGGCAATTAACTGAGCTTAAGTGGACTTTGGACACAAGATCTTCACTCCAACCTAACTTAACCGACACTTTGTTTAGTAAAATATTTAAACCCATTTTTAGTAGGATTTAAAAATATAGTTTATATAAATATAACCTATAAAAATATATATATATATAAACATAAAATAAAATAAAATCAAAAATATAAATAAATATATTATTTATTATATATATTATATTATAAATTTGATAACTTATGAGTATTCAACAAATACATTGATGGCCTTTTAGTGATGTGTGCTAAAAGTACTATTAATTTTTAAATTTAAAAACTAGTATATATATATATATAATTTATAGTATTTATAGTACCGACCTAGTATATACCTATATATGGTAAAAGTACTTAAATATTAATACTGGGATCGCTTTGCCAGTGCAACATTCTAAATTTGGTCACTAAGTTCATGTTGTTGTTGTTGTAGTAACCCGCGTCACTAAGTTCATACTTACTTACTAAGTTCATACTTACTTCTTGTTGCTGGTATTAATGGTGTGTGTACGGTGATATAATCAGCTAAAGGCCAAATTTCTTCTAAACTCATCTTTTCGATACCAATCGCCTTAGCTTCTGAGTCTGTTGTGATTGGATCGTAACCAATAATCTAAATTCATACAATAAAAGTAATAAATAAACATAAATTAAGCTATTTTTTTTATATTTATGCACATTACCCTCATGCCCCACGTTTTCATGCGTATGCCAACTTCACGTCCAATTCGGCCCAAACCTAGAATGGCCAATGTTTTGCCATGCAGTTCCGTGCCGTTATACAATTTTCTATCCCAACGTCCTTCTCTCATGCTTTGCCCAGCAGGTATAACATTACGTGCTAAAGCACCAATTAGGATGCACGTCAGTTCACAAGCTGATATCGAATTGCCACCCGGAGTGCTGCAAAGTAGCAATAGATTAAAATTTAACAAAACTTGTATAAATATACATATATTTCGCACATATATAAATATATATATATATACATATTTAAAAAAATCAATCGTGGTCCAATCGACCAGGATGCGTGAGCAACAGGCAAATACGTCTAGTGGTGGGTATGAGTTATTTTGACTAGACAAATTTGGAAGACAGCAACAAATGAATTTCGTGTGTGATTATGCAAATTATTTTTTATGCTAATAACTAAAATTAAAGGAAAATATGTTAATAAACAGAAAACAATACTACGGGTATATAGAGAATTGCCAATGTGTCAGTTGCCAATGCTATACCAATTAATTTTATATAAATTGGGAAGAATAACATAAATAAATCAATTCTATTAACATGTTCGATTTGCGTTCCGTATGCTTACTTGAGTACTAAGACATTGTGTTTAGTTGCTGCTTCTACATTAATATTATCCACTCCAGCACCTGCCCGGCCTACTGCTTTCAAGTGACCAGCACCTGCTTCCAGAACTGCTTCAGTGATTTTAGTATCCGAACGTACAATAACAGCATCGTAATTCTATATAAATGATATCTCAGATTAATAATTTATACATTTAATAATTTTTTTAAATAAATTATAAATTTTATTTTTTAGAGGCAATAACTACAGTATAATATAAGAGCATTTAATATCCAGTATTTTATACCAAGCGAATCTATATCAACAACTATAGTATTTTATATAAATTAACAAAAAAATATTGCGTAGATGCAATTAAATGTATTAAATGAATATTTTTCCAATAAAAGAATCCGCACAATTTTTTATTCTCTGATAAATAAATAATATTTTTTGATTATTTAAATGATTTTAAAAAAACGTCACTTGCATTATCTCTTCAATTATCGCACGACAAACACAAAAAGTACTACAAAAAAGAGTTAGCACTTAGTAAATTCAAAATATTTTGTTGAAAATGTTTCACATTTTTAAGTATTGCTTTTCTTTCGATTCAATAGTTATTCTCCAAATGGAATAAAAGCCAAGAAAATTTCAATTCCCACCAGGATGTCCTCGTAAGGTTATCGACTGAACTACAATGTACGAATGACACGCAACTACAAGTATCTTTAATTTATTTAATTATTCCCGAAAGCTGTTAAGCGGCACTTTACTAAAATGAAGCTCAAAGCCTTTAGGCTTTTGGATAATTTATTCCGATTAATTGTATCCGTACTGCACAGAGAAAATATAGATTATATACTTTAGAAAAAAATCTTACAAATACAGAGTGTATTCATTTAAAAGCACACATTTTATTTGCTGTAGTTGAAGCTTTGCTTTAGAATACAAAAAATATATTAAATATTAACCAATATCAACAAAGGTTCATAGTTACAAAGTACACTTCAAAAAAAAAAAGTAATACCAGGCATCTTTTTAAATAAGCAGGATATATCAAAAATAGATATTTAAGAAAATATTTAGGGATATGCCTGATATAGTAGCAGAGTTATCGCATCCGTAGTTAACTGACAAACAAAAATTGTTCAAAGTTTAAAAGCTATCATTAGGGATACTTAATCCCTCAAAAATAAATTGAATGAAGTTTTCAACAACGTCCAAACCGGAACGTTAAAATTTGAGTGGCACAAGCCTAAAGATGATGTCGGTTTCCTTTTACGATTCAAGAACATTGTGCACCTAGATTGCAATTAACAGTATCAAATGGTTTATGAATAATTCTATCTTCATATCTTGAAAATCTTAGGACATTTAACTCATCGTATTCAACCAGAATTATACGCAATAGGAAGTTGAGATTTACACTTTAGTACGCCAATTTATTTATCAAAACTACTGACATTCCCATTTTAGATTTGTTATAGTAGCAGATTAGCAGATCTCGTAAGAAACGTTAAGATATTAAATACATAAACTAAATCCAATCCATCGAATTTGGATAATTTAGCCAAATTCCTTATCGATAAACAGCCTGTGACAAATTGTTAAAAAAGTACTTTCCCAAATACCAATTTCTTCTGGGGACCAAATCTGGGCGTTCACAGAGAACATATTTCTTTTTCCTGCAAGTTTCCACAACTTCTAGAGTAAGTATGCAGTAAGTGTGCAGTTTCTCTGAATGAGTACTTAAATACCAGAGAGAACTGCAGTAAGCCTTGCAACATTTGCTATTGAATGTATTAAAAATATTCTATGGGTATAGTAACCGTTTAAAAGACTTAAGCCGATACACTAAAGAAAACACCAGCCGACATTTATTCGACACGCTTCTACATCGTGCAAATTAATGTATTATATAAGAAGACCACCACTCTAAAATTTGTTTCCTGTGCTCAATCAAATTTTCTTCAAATCTACGAAATCTTCATGTGGTATCTCACCCTTATTACAGTTCGACCGACCTTTTATTCTCATTCTCATTCCACTATTAACAACCAAGTAAAGTAGCAATCTATATGTAGTCGTGCCTTCCGCCTGTTAGACCATCAGATCGGTGAAGTGCATTAAATTTTAATTGACGTTAACTAATAAAAATTGTGAACGTGAACTTTAAATATACTTGCATCAATTTCAAGAACGAACTTTGTCTTTTTTCTACTTTTCTCGTATCATATATATGTCTTGAAAATATTCAACGTCTTCATCTGTAAAATGGATTGACTTACTGTTTGGTACTCGAAGGTCAGTATTCTATATAATCAAATATTAAAACATCTTAAACATTCTGGAACATCGCTATAAAAATATACCATTACATCGAATATTAACATAATTCGCGTCTTCCGATATATATGTTATGTAGGTATCGTGTATTCTTCTTAACAGCACTTATTTCATTCAATAAACAAATGCAGTGTAAAAAATCCTAGAATATTCTCTTAGCTATAATAAAAAATAACGGCACTATGATAATATCTTTTATAACCATTAAAAAAGTGAATAGAAACGGAGTTGTCGTTAGCTAGTTCTACTTTTATTGCAGACTGATGAGCGGCGTATAAGTTGACTCTTTGTGTTATATAGTAGTAGTATCATCCTATCGCGTGAAACGAATCTAGATACTTTCAGGAATAGATTTTTTTTTAATTTATGTCTACAATAAAGTAAACGTCACACTTATGCTAAAGTATTGATTAGTTTAGTTTATGAGTGTAAATTGCTTTGTACAATATTTATCGACATTATGGATAGCGATTTATGGACGAGTTATCGTATCACGGGTTAAGGTGTGGTGAAGAAGCGGAGTAGGGATTAATCTAAAATATCATTAAAGCAGATTATGAATTAATCCATTTTTAAGGGAGCATATTGATTTGGAAAACTAAAGTCGAGATAAAGTGCAACAGTGTTTAGAGAGCAATTAACATACAATTACAAAAAAATTTTTTAACTCGAAGTCTCCATAAGTCGAACCTTGTTTTTGCCCGCCATCTCAAGACTTTAAGTTTTCAAGCTCAAAAGTGTTACTGGTTAAAATAATAGCTCTCCTAACATCTTCCAAACACTCCCCACTTCCTCAAAAAAAAAAGCTAACAAGTTTTGTAAGTTCAGATATATAGTACAATGGACTTTCAGAACTTGTCTGAGTGCTGCGAATCTTGTTATAAATAATTCTTCAAAGATAGTAACAGTGAGTTCAAATACTGTACAGAACAAAAAAAAAAAAACAAATAATATTGTCTAAAAAATATCCAGAAATTGATTTTAACTAAAATAACAAATTACAGAGTAGTTATTGGCTTCTATAACGTCTTCAAAACATTCTCAGCTTCCTCAAAAGACGTCGAATTTTTTTGTAAAATATTGAATTGTGATTTACAACACAATGGACTTTTACAATCTGACTGCTATGAACTTTATTTTACAAATTATTCCTAAAAGATAGTATCCGTGAGTTATCAGCTTACAGAGTTTTCCACCTACTAAACCATTAATAAATACCCAGCAATTGATTTTTTTAACTAAAGAAATATATACCAGGTTAAGTATTGTTCGTGAATTAGACGCCCATCGTTTTTTAATCATGATTGACTTAGTGAATCAACTTAATATAACATCTATGGATTGCTCTTATAAACGTATTGATTGGGATGAATGTATAAGAAGATGGTTTCATACTATTCTGTAAATGTTATAAAAATTGTAATGTGTGAAATAAAAAAAGAAAAACGGAATCTTCATTTGGTTCTAATCAAAGTAAAGTAGGTCTCGAATCGTAAAAAAAAATCATATTGTAAAACTTATTTTTATAATATATTGAACCTTTTCCCAAGCTGAATTATGATACCAATTTCTTCAGGGATTCCAATTTAGACGTTACAAATCACAACGTATGACCCTGTTTCTTCCATAATAATATTAATTAATATCAATTTCCTTTTTAATATTATATATGTTATATTTAATCTGCTTGAATTAAATGGAACCAAGTAAAAATATATTTCCGTCTGTCTGTCCGTTTATTTAAATGATATAATGCAACTGCAATAAAAGTATCTGTTCTTCGAATGCGCCCAAGTAATTTAACTGCAAAATGATGAAAATTTCTTAAAAATAAAAAATAATAAAAAAGATTTTCAAAAAATTTGCAATTAAATTAAAATTGAAAATATAAAATGTTTATATCCTGTTGTTATGCAAATTTTAATAATGAAAACAAGATATCCTCAATGAACGGAGTAATTTAAAATAAATCTATTTGCACAATAGGAAAGAGGTAAGTGCATTGCTTATTTTTGGACGTTTGAGTCCAGCGGAGATGGGTCCTCACATAAATTGATAAGCAACTGCAAAAAACATTTAAATGTGCTTGAACCAGTCTTTTTGTGATAATCCGATATTTGGTTCACTAATTTGTTACGAGTATATATAAAGTGTATTGATACATATACATCTATATATAAATATAAAAGTATATATATTCATCTATATATGTATTTTGTTTGCATATCAAAATAGCTGTGTTGTTCCGTATTTCGGCTTATCTGCCGCTCAAGAGAATTGCGTAGGCACTTGTTTATTATTCGGGAAGGTTCATTAACCCAAAACACTTATTTTTGTCTGTTTAAGTTTTTATCAGTGATTAAAAAAATATGTTCGAATATTACAGGAACCGATTTAAAAAAAAATAAAATATGCAAGAGAAGTGAAAATAAATAAATAAATAAAGAAAAACGAAAGCTAATTAAAAAATAAGGAAAAATATTGGGTTAGATAAAAAGTAATCGGCGTTTCTCTGTTCGATTTACTTTAAAATGATTAGCTGCAATCATAACTTCTTTTTTGTTTTAATGTGACAGAAGAAAAATTGTGTCATAATGTTAAAGTTTTCTATGGCAAAGGAAAGAATGGGATATAGATAGATAGATTTTGAAACGTTTGAAAATGCCATTATATCGCTTAGAGAGATATTGCCGTTATAAGGGTATAGGCAGTTGATAAATACCGAACGAAATCTGAGTCTGGCAAGATCACCCCACAGTGATACAGTATATGTTCTGCTGTTTCCTCTTCTTCTCTTCTTCACTTCCAAAATCTACAGCTAACGTCCCTAGTAATACCTAAGAAAGGGGGTACTGACTTTTAAAAAAATTCATGTTATTTGTTCCGAAAGTACTCTGTCATAATAAACTGCTAACAAATTGTTTAGTTGATTTAATTTTAAAAATATGAATGTGAAATATATATTATCTACCACTCTTGGTCGAACTAACATAGTTTAATCGAAACTGTCAATAAATATACAGTTGAGTTTCAAGCACAACTCCATGTAAATAGTCATTACATAAGTAAAGAATCGTGATCTACACGATCACACGAAATAGATGTCAACTAACAATAACAATAAATAGAAATTCTGACCACTATCACCATCATCAGTACAAACCTATTCCACTTCTCAGTATAAGGCATTTTACACGCTAAGGTCAATATTAAAAAATACCAGAGTATTAATGCAATCGTAAAAGCTATTCTTTGTGGATGAATCTAAATTTCGTAGGTCCACATTCATGCCGCGAGCAAATCGTTTATTGACCATTTTTAATTTTCTTAGTTTAATAATTCAAAAGACAAAAGTAATCAAAAGGAAAAGTTTTTCCACAATATAGTTCTTCAATACAGATACGTACGAGTATATATCATCTTATCATCACGTATTTGAATTAACTCAACCAGGTCCACACATTAAAATCAGAAATTATTTAATGTGAGAATCTTCTGTAGAGCTTGATATTGCTGCATAGGACTATTTTGACATATATATCTCATCAATGGAGGAGCATTACCACATTGGCCCTCTCTTTGTTATGTAAAATATTACTTTGAATAGTATTTTAAGTGGGAGGCACCGCAAAATATTCTACCCTTGGCTACTTCGATAGTAAAATAAAAGAATTTTGCACACCGCAATCCAAAATCGGAAGAGAGATGGTCAGTGGTAACTACGAGTTACCGAAAAAACATATTATGTGAACATTAAGACGTATAAAATCACACATTGAACAATATTGTATAATGTTAAATTATTTAACGAAATTTATTTATATTATTTTTACCTTTACTTCCTTACACAATTCATCTAGAGGCAACTTTAATTTGTAGGACACCTAAAATAAAAAATAAATAATATTAATTATAAAATAATCAAATATCAAATAATTTTTAGTATATTATATAGGCATTACCTAAGTGTATAAATATGTGTATTCAGTTTAAATATTATATAAAGATAAATAGACTATATGGAATCAAGTTCTTCAAATATAACATAATATGTTTAAAAAGTTCTAACTATAATAAACTAACTTACTTACATACTTGACCATAATAACTTAATTTAACTTTACTTAATGAACTAAAATATCGTAATTTAATTATACTTTAGTGTTTATATATATATTATACTTTAGTTCTAATATGATACTTTCTGTGGTGTGTTATGTTTTCCCAAACAACGGTTTGAGAACGGCGTTATAGCTATACTAAAGATTAGTAGTAGAAATATATCTCTAATACACCACTTACGGTAAAGGTATGTTTGGAAACACGATTTCAATTTCACTTTATCAACTATATCTGTTATATGACTAATAAATTCATGTATTTGAAAATTAGTATAAAGTATTTTTTAAATTAATGCAATAAATTGAATTTTTATGAAAACCAATTCAACACTTGATATATTGTAATTAATAAACCTATCACTATACTCCTTCGAGTTAAGTCGGATTTAAAAAACCGATTGTTTTGGCGCGGCCGAGTAAACTTGTGCGACTAACAGTTTTAGTTTTCCATATACTACACATAATATATTATACACTATATACTATAGTACTAGTACTGAGAAAGTACTAAATACTTTCCTCTCTGTTTCGTTAGCACTTGAATATTTTATGCACACTATTACCTCCTGTTCCATTCTAATTTCCCAAGCATGTTCCTTTTATACTCCACAATCATAGTTGCATTGCAACAAAAAAATTTTAATAAGCTCCCGCCTAACATCTCAAAGAAAGAACGACGGCTTTCCCATACAACAAGAACTAACCTACATCAATTGAGTCCTACGATATAGTCATGTGCTAAACAGCTTCTTGTCACGCATAATTGTGTCAATGTCCAGTATGTGATGCTCAATTATTTTCCTTCCCACCACAACACCCACACACTAAGTCGAGTCCAATTGATATTTGAAGCCTACTCATAAAAGTGGCTAGATTACTTCGCCGTAAATTTGGTTAATTTCAATTTAAATCCCAACCATCTACCTAACAATTCTAATTCTTAAATAGTCTCCTCCTCTCTCACACAATCAATATCCATCCTATCATGTTATCTGTTTTATAATTTCTTGTGTGCTATAACAACACTATATTGAAAAAAACATTAGTTTCATGACCTAAGGCTTTTTTTACTATAATATTGCTTTTCAATGTGCTATGGTACATTAGAACGAATGACATCCTTAGGGATCTCAAGATTGATCCAATCAAAAATTACATAACGGATAGAGCCCTATTTATGAATACTGACAGGCTTATAATACCGCGTTGTCGAGTCTCAGAATGGTTACAGGCTCCTCGGAAAGGTATGCAGATCTGAGATCAGTTATTGTTTAGTCTGATGTAGTGATAAATAATAATCCAGTCAAGGCGTAGAATGGGGTTATGAAGAAACCTCGCAGTTAGTAGAGAGTAAAAGTGCTCAAGTACACTGACTTAACCAGGCTCAACATTATAATAGTTTCGATCATATTCATTCATATATATGATTAAGGTACACTCTAAAAAATCATCGTTAAATTTTTATTTAATTAACGCTAAAACTAAATCTGGATTACTTCTAATTGAACTCTCAATCTAACAACGTTTGTTGTCCATTCTAACGTTTTTAGAGTATTCTGTGGATGCCTTCGCTTTGGTGTGGATGCACTTTTAGTAGGTATTTATGTTTTTCATAAATACATATATCGAATCAAATCACTCTTTATCTATCAAGTCATATAAAACAGCAATCAATTTCAGGTTACATTTCGCTCGAAATTTACTAATCGAAAATGAAATTACACTAAAAGTAAATCTCGATTAAGAAAGTTACCCCACCCTAGATTTATCAATCTAAAACTGCATGATAAAAGTTTGTGTTTAACCCATTTCGGACCACCGTGTGGTGCTCCACACGGCTAGTTTTGGATATTTTTTGATATTTAAAGAATATTTTATATATTTTAGATAAAGATAATGTGAGAGTAAACTTTCAAATAAATATTAAACTCTTCTCATTTACTTAAACTTGTTTTATTTTACTATTTACTATGATACTTAATGGGTTAAGTAGACGAACGTTCACGGACGTGGTTAGATCGATTTTTTTGTGATAAGCAAAAAGTCAAATATAAAACATAAATATTTATTGAACTCTGCTGACTTCATCATAAATCATCCGATGATAAAAAGTCGATACTGCTACGTACGTATGTATATAAATATGTATGTATATTAATGCATTCGTGCTGATAGGTCAAAAAAGGTGATCCATTCTCAATAATTAACACAATAAAATCTAAATTTCATAATAAAAATAATAATAATTAATAAGCATATTTAAGTATAGCGACCACATGTGCTTGAACATCCATTGTTGCCATTAGAGGGTTAAGTAGATCACAAAATAAGATCACGTTTTGTCTGGTGCAATATATCAAATTTAAAAACTTGCAATCTAATATAAGTATATATATAGATGATATAGATATATAGAGTATATAGATGATATATTCCTTCTTAATTCATACTAAAGCGATCGCTACTCAGTATAAAACGTACAATTAAATACTTTTAAATAAATAAATAAAAATATTTACATATATGCATTAATTAATATATAAAGCAATGAAATATGTAATTATGCAAATGAAAAAAAAACAAAAAAAAAACAAGTTCACTAACTTTTATGCCATGACTTTCTAGAAGTTCAACGCAAGCATTGTCCACAGCATCACAAACCAACACGTTTCTTATGTCAACCGGCATTTTTTACTTATTTGTTTTTTTTGTTTTTTTTTTTTTTTGGAAATTCTGGTAAAGCAAAATATGCAAGAACTTGCGAAACCACAAAAAAGTATATAGTAAGCACTTGACGACTGGGACGGAATTGATAATGAAGCCGGCGTAAAAGTCTAAAGCACAACTTACAACGCGAGAGCGAACCTCATTTACCGAAGTGCAAAGATCGACTGAAGACTGAACACTGAACAACAAATGCAACAATGGAAAATATTTTTGCAGTTTAAGCGCAAGCGATGTGCAAATTAATTAAATTCTTTATTTTCTTTATTGAAGGAAATTTATTTATTTAAGGAAATTATTTTTTAAGCAATTTTTTTGCGACCATTTTTTATCTTCTTCAGCATCAATTCAGCATCCGTTGTTGGCTCGGCTCATCTGTCGTTGTTATCATCTGCTGTAACATTAATATGAGCAATAAATATGAATCTCCACACATTGTTTTTGTTTCGTTAATATTCTTATCTCTTTTAAAAAAAACAACTGAATATTGTTGTTGTTGTTATTGTATCAATTTGTAAATGCTTAAGAGGAGTAAGGAAAAAATTGTAAACCAAGTATGGCACAACTAACCCTGCAGAAAGTTGAACTAGTCTAAATCTAGTATAAACCAATCCTCAGCAACAGATAAGGACTTGCTCTAAACCAGGGCTGTCCAGCAATGGCGGAGCTAGACCAACTCGAGGCCCCTTTCATTATCCAGTTATAAAATTAAATAAATTACATTCAATAATATGACGAATCAAAGTAAAATAAAGACATATAAACCTCATTCTGGAGTATTTCCAGAAATGGAAAATAAAAATCAATAATGAAATAACTTAGGCTCTGTTTATAACGCGTAAGTTTATAACGGAGACAGAATCCGTCGAGAATGAGAGTGGATGATATGGTAATAAACTGGGAGAATAGCGTTCAATATCTCGGCATCACGTTGGACAAACGAATCACATGCCTTAAACATGTTCAACTGAAAAGAATTAGCTGTGCCAAAATTCTTCATCACCTCCAACCACTATTCAGAAATAAAAATCTCAATGCTAAAAACAGGAAACTAATATATATACACTTCTAATATATATCGTCCGTCACTTCTATATGGATGTGTAGCGTTCAGTAAAGCTTCAAGCACTACTATTTGCCAGGTAGAAACTGCGCAAACCCAGGCTCTGAGAAGACTTTTCAAAGTACCATCAAAAAATACATAAAGGATTGAGCGAAAACTGACAGACTTAACAACACTGCGTTATCAAATCTCACAATGGTTACAGGCACCGCGGGAGGTATGCAGATCTGATTTCAATTATTGCTTAGTCTGATGAACTGATAAACAATACTCCAGTCAAGGCATAAAGTGGGGTTTTGAAAATACCTCGACTTAAGAAACACTAAAAGTTCTCAAGTGCACTGGCTTAAATAACTTTTGTTTATAAATAATAAACAAATTAAAATAAATGAGTTTTCTTATTTTTAGCTTTAATCCGTTTTTTTTTTAAATTCTATCATAATTTGCACCAGCTGCTATTTTCGCTTCAATTTATAGAATTACCAAAGGAGAAAGTCTCTCTTGAATCATTATACTTCTCAAGTAGGTCTTAAACAATTTTAACTTTGAGAAGTTTCATTCAGCAGAAGCTGTGCTGACTGGAATTGTGAACATGATTCTGGTTACTATATAAACATTCGGATATACTTCGAATATAATTTTTAACAAAGGTCTCCACACCTTGTTAAAGAAGAAACACTAATAGTTAACAATGATAATAAAACTTTATTCAACTTTTCTTAAGAGTAAAATCGGAAACGTTTTCATATATTTAATATATTTATATATTATATATATATTTTTTATACATTTATATAGAGTATATAAATTTTTTAAATGTTTAAATTATAATATTTATTTATATTTATTCGATATTGACTTATTCATTTATTGATTTAGTTATTAATTATTATTTATAATTATATATATTATTATTTATTTATTTATTATTATATATATTATTATTTAGTTATTAATATATATTATACATATAATATATTAATATATATAGTATTTAAGCTTTAATTTAAAATCTTATCATTTTTTTTTTATTATTTATTTATTGTTTTATTTATCATTTCAATTATTTATGTATAAATATTAGCAATAATAAAATATATATCCTGCGGCTTTCCATTATATTCGTATTAAAATTTAATTGTTTACTTGATGCAGTAGCGATTAACAGCTGTTTTTGATAGAATATAGATATAGAACAATACAGCATTCTACCATAAATTACAAATAATAAAATTTTTTTAAAAGACTTTTGTACCAGAATAGCTGAAATCTTACAAACGGTCTTACGGTCGATCCAAACAAATGTCTACATACAATATATTAAGTATAACATATTAAATTAAATTACAATAAAAATATATGTACTTAATTAAAAAATTGCCGTATACGTATTCTGGCAGTTTATTTTATATTTTACTTAAATCTCTATAGAAAGTTGAACTAGTCTAAAACTAAAACACAAAACTTCTAGACTTGTACTTATCGTTATTTAATAAGGATAAGTAGCATATTTTACAGAAGCATTTCCGTAGAGAGATCTAATTGTCTCGCTCTACATTACCTTAGAATGCTCTTAAACTAATCTATGTAGACCAGTTAATAGACAGTGAGTAATTTAGTTCTAGACTTGTACTGATCCTTATTTAATAAAGATAAGTAGCCTATTTTACAGAAGCATTTCCGCACAGAGAACTAATTGTTTCGCTCTACATTACCTTGGAATGCTCTTAAACTAATCTATGTGGACCAGTTAGTAGACAGTGAGTAATTTAATTGCGCACTCACTGATCTAATTAGTAGACAATTAATTTCATTTCTTACAAATTTTAATTTATGTACATATTTTTTAATGGACTAATTGGACTATTGACTAGTTTGAATAATATAGATAAAAAAAATAATTTTAGGATATTTATTTTATTGTCACCAATTTTTTGACTAAGTCTATAGCCACATTTAGGGTGCTGATATAACATATATTTTTATAATATAGTAACAAATTCAATATGACAAAGAAATAATTTTACAATACAATAACATTTATATATTTTTTAAAATAAAATAAAGCACACATTCTTTAATTCTTTGGTGCATCCACACCAAAGCGAACGCTTGCGAATGAACGAACATTCGCAGGTAATCGCACCTGCAAAAGTTTGTTCGAACTAAAGAACATTTGCAAAAGAACATTTGCAAAAGAACATTTGCGTAATTGTAGTAGATTAAAAACATGTCACGGGTCATACTTTGGACAGCCTTGATTTAGATAGTATATTATGAAAAGAATCATCTTAATCACCTTCCAGAATATGACAATATATTACTTGCTTTCAAACTTATATTTAATTATGTGCCCTTGAGAGCGAGTACACAAGGCAACGTATCTGGGTAATGAACTAAAAGCTAAAGTTTTACTGCTTTGATTAAGACGTAAATACAAAATATGCACTATATATGACTGTATATATGACTGTAATATGAATTTAATAAGTAACAAGGAACTAAAGCTTCAAATGGAGCAAATCCTTACGACCTAAGCGGATTTTTTTTACCCAACGCAAATCACTTTATGATAAGGATATGTTTTATATACTAAATTATGGTCAAAATTTATCTTACCGAATAGTTTCTGACTATTGACAGGATCGAAAACTTTTACCCCACTAAGCACCATTTCACCCAAACAAATCAAACAAAATGTAATGATGTATAATGGTATAAGGTCTTATACCATTCTAGATTATCATTTGACAACAGATCTTAGTAAAGACAACTATTATGAACAACCTTTTCCACTAAGTTATACATCAATATTACATACTTTTCGAAATTGCTTGAAATGGTTGGAAGTACTCAAATTCGGTGTGCTCGGACAATCAGAATTTTACCTGCGTTGGTTATTGTCGGTTCATCTTTATCGTTTATAAAATAATGCAACTGTTGTCTTATAATCAATATTAATAATAACACTATAATGACGCACGCTGTAACTTTAATAAATAACTAAAAATAATATCAACTTAAAAGAGGTACATATATATATTTACAGAATGATATCTAGAGATACAACAGTCAATGTTATGATACAAATAAATATATATACTTTATTATATACTAATAACATAAGTACATAATAACCAAGAACTTTACTTCAAAAGAGTTGTGTACCTAAGATTTAAATGACTAACTGGTGCTACAGCTAAAAGGGGAGAGACGAAAGTTAAAGAAATGTGTTGAAATGTGTGCTGCAGATTTGACCGCACAACCAAGTGCTTCTGCAAATCAACATTTTGGATACGTATGCATGCAGTTGATATTTGAATAGAACAGAAAATTACTGTCATACAATTCTCACTATATAAATGTCTATTTCTCATATTACATATTATTTTGTTAATTTTTCTATTGAACACAACTAACGATCAGAAACAGAAGTTAATAAAAACTATATTATACAATAATTAATAATGTTTTATATTTTAAGTTTTTATAATTATTTTATTAAATCAAATAAAATAGAATTATTAACTAAATTTTATTACTTAAATTATATAAAATAGAATTATAAACTTAACATAACTTAACTATATGAAATAGAACTATTAACTAAATTTAATTATATATTAGTTATAATTATTTAAAATGAATTTATTTATATTGGGGTGAATATTTTTGTTTTATTGTTAATTCTAATTCATAGCATTTATAAATATTTTTTTTCTTTTTTTTTCATTACACCAATATTTTTATATAAATTTAAATTTAAAATTTTTACAATTTTTTTAATTTATTGGTGAATTTTCTAGAAACGTTGAATCATCTGACTCGCAGTTGCTATTGTTACGAAAGTTTGAATGCATGATAACTTCCATTGATACCAGTCTGGCTAAGATATATTTTATTTCACTAATAAATGGATGAACGTTGAGACCTAACATGGACCTTATTTCTATTTTCTAATTATTGAATGTTTTTTAAAAACATTCGAATGATTATAGGACAATTGTTGTATGAAATTAAGAGTATAAATTAAACCATCAAAACTATTATAAAGAGTTTAACAGAGAAACAGAGAAATAAGTTTTAATGAAATTGATATATCTTTGATATCGATTACGCTTTCCATCTTTTTTTAAAAATGAGCGTTTATAAACATTTTTATACAAGATATATCTTGAATTTAAATCGTTAAATATATGATTTATGGTTTTGATAAATTCAATTGTTGGGCAGACAGTATTATTAAAGTTATCATTTATTTCAAATAATTTAACACCATCATATTATTTTAAAGCCTAAGCCACAGATTTACTTAATAATTGTGTGGCCTTTCTATCGGAAATTTTTTGAAAATTATTAGGACAAATATGTTCATATTTTAGTTTAGTACATGCTCTGAAATGCATATCTTTAGAATCTTCTTTAACTAAAATTCTAATAACTACAGCAAAAGCAAAGTCAGAATTAATTCGTAAATCTGTACTAAGAAAATTATTTTTTTTAGATTAAAATAAATTACAGTAATTATACGAAATATACACTACATTATCTTTATAATTCAGTACTGCGCACTTTGTGCACGCTGAATCAAATCGCAATTGCGCGATCTAAATTTTTATAGTCTATTTTCTTCAGTGCAGTTCCTGGAATAACAAAAAGTTTTAATCTACATATACATACTAGAATATAAAAAATACTCACCATCTAGTTGCTGAACTGGATAATAGCTAAGAGTAAACTTTCAACTAGCAAAAGTTGTCTTCTACATAAAAATTAGACATTTATTGGTAACAATATTTTCTCTACAATTATTCCCAAAATCGACAAATCCATCTATACAATCCGTTTTATTATTGTACTCCAGATCAGACCTCACTGAAATTTCATCCCTTATTAGAGAGCACTCGCGCTCTTGAAGTGACGTCTTTGACACAATGAATGTTAAATCAGTGCAAACTTGGACATCGATTATGTATGATTACTCTCATTTATTTTAATCTAAAAAAAATACTTTTCTTGTAAAAATTTAAATTTATACAAAAAATATTAGTCTAATAATATTTATAAATGCTTAGAAAAACTGACAATGAAATAAAAATATTCACCTCAATATAAATATATTTCTTTTAAATAATTATAACTAATACCCGAGTTCGATTTCTGGTACTTGCAGTCTCAAAAACAATTATTTATGAATAATTAAATACAAGAATTATTTCCAAGACCACTGATGATGGATATTTGGCCATACTCGAAACAGCTGTATGATCAGCCAAAAATTCAATTAATTAAAATAATATAAAAAAGTATATATTTGTTGTTGTAGTTCACTTCTGTTCGAAAAACCTCTTTATTTAATAGTTTTTAAAATCTTAAACATAATTATTTATTATATAATATAGTGTTTATTAATATTCTTCATGAAACCATTGCTACTGTAGGGCATAGCACTGTCTTCACAACCAATCATATTAATAGCATTTACACTAACAACAACTGTTGTTGCGCTACTGCAGTGGTTTCTATTCATAAAATAGGCAAGCATCATATTTTTGTATGAAGTCAGTATAAAATTTCAGCAAAAATCAAATATACACAAAGCACACAAAGCCAGTCATAAATTTCAAGAAAAAAAAACCACAACAACAGTGTCTACGCACTGATGATTGTAGCTATCCAGAGGGGACCACGTGGAGACTGTGTGTCAAATTGAAGAGAACAATGACAAGGATTGTGTTGGCATTTACCATGTTAAATGCAATCAGACCTTTACCTTGTATGTTTACTCCCTTCCCCCCTTCACAAAGTCCCTGCCCCCATGACATTCAAAAAAATTGTCTCACATATGTATGTATGTATGTATTTGCACTGATATTAGAGCTTTTTATATATGATTTTGTCCAAGCAAAATATTTTGTGTTCCCTATTGGTTTGATTATTGACGGGGAAATCCCATTTTTGTTTGTTTTCTATGAAGCAAGCAGCGTTTGGCACCTTATTATAAAGTGTGTTGTGCAGTGAAGTCTTAATATTTCCAAAATGGATCGAAAGGGAAGAGAAGTTTCTGATAAAGTTGAAGTACTTGTAATTAAACATTATAGAAATGGCTTAAGTGAAAAAAAAAATTGGTGAAATAGTAAATAGACCAATAACTAGCATTCACTATATTATAAAAAATTGAAAGAAACGAAATCGGTCGAAAAAATCAAAGATCCCGTCGGCCTAAAACACTTTTTAAAGTCGATGAGCTGTGATTAGTACGCCAAGTTCAGAAAAATCCCAAAACAAATGCCACAAGTTTTTGTAATATCGTTCAGGAATATTTGGAAAAAGAGGTTGTACGGATGGAAATTTACATTAAATTTCAACCTATATAAACACTCACCAGCCAACACAACGGACACCTGGCAGTAAGATCAATGAGTTGAACAGCGAGCGCAGCAATCGTGACGCTCGGTTCCACGAAACAAGGGCAAGCAAGCCAGGCAATCGCGACATGCTTCGAGGAAACAACGGCAAACCCGAAACGGCAAAATGTTGAGGGTGAATAGTAAGCGCGCGAACGGCAAAAAGTCAAGACCCGTACGCATCGTTAATCAATGTGGTTTACAAGAAAGTAAACCCTAGCGAATGCATCGAATATTAAATAAATTATTAAAATCGTTTACTAAATGTTTTAATTTGACTACTTTTACGCATTGTTTTCATTGTGATACCGTGTTCGTAATAAATAATAAATTAAAGTCTTGAAAATATTTACTTTCGTCTTTACTATAACACTAAAAGTGTCTTACAAATAAATCAAGAAAATAATAATAAATTACCCACGGCTTTGAATATTTTGGCGACTCTGATGAGGCTGGGACACCCCAGTCATTGCAGGGTCACGCCACAAACTATTCGAAATTTGCTTAAAATTTATGGTTATAGAGAAAGAATCGCACGTAAGAAACTATTCGTAAACAAAATCAATAGAACCAAAAGGCTATATGATGACAGCAAATTTAACATTTTTTGGATGCGATGATATATACATATGGTAGGACGATGGGACAGCGCACTGTCCAACAAGTGGCCCCACTAAAGTGAAGGATTAGTCGAAGTAGACCACGAAACGACTTGAGTCCTTTTTCGTCCTTTGATTCTCGGATGTTGTTATTGAGTTAAAGCTGGAGTGGCTTCCGTTCGCATAACTACATCTTTTGTTAATGCAAGTAGCTCATTTAGCTTGAGGTTTCCTGCCAAGTCGTCACCAACCCAATGGTGTCCCAAGACAAGTTTTCCTCCTACTTGTCAGTGCTGGACATTGGCACAATATATGCACCGCTGTCTCTTTTTCTTCTAGACATAACCTGCGAGTGTCTTCCTCAGCAAGAGTTATCTTTTTGATGTGATTCTTGAAGTTGCCATGTCCAGTAATTAGAGAGGTCAGCCAGCTTAGGGTGCTCCGCGAATAGCTAAGCACCTTTATCGCTTCTCTGGCCCACGGTTTTGGTAACATGAGTATGGTCTGTCTACAAGTGCTCAACTCTTTCCATCTATTAAGATGAAGTGAGGTTATCCACTTATAGACATAGGCTGCCGTCATGCTGTACCCCAATAGTATTCTGTATTGATGCGATGATAAGATAATGGTCTATAGAAAGCAAAATACGGAGCTGGAGGAACACAATACAGTTGTTACTATTAAACATGGCGGTGGCGGTGTTATGATTTGGGGAGGTATGCCAGCATCTGATGTGGGAAATATCGAAGTAATAAGTGGAATAATGGATATATATCGATACTTTAAAGAAGAACTAGATGTAAAATGTGGAAAAACTGGGCATTGGGAATGATTTTCAGTTCTATCAGGATAACAATACAAAGCATTCTGCGTTAAACACTAAGCTTTGGTTAATATATAACTGCCCACAAAAGTGATATAGATCCTTTCGCAAAGTCTAGACTTAAACCCCATAAAAAACTTTGGAATCATTTTAAGTCTAAATTAAAAAAACACAGCTTTTTAAACAAGCAGCAGATTCAACAGACTCTAATGGACGAATGGAGTAAAATGAAACCAGCTATGACAGCAAAATTAGTCCAATTAATGCCAAAGTGGGTAAAAGAGGTAATAAAATGTAAACGACGCATAACGAAATATTAAATTTTAGTTATTGTTACCAAAATTGCAGTCTGTTGCATAAATGTCAAATACTTTTTTGTTTTGTTTTTGGTGTTCTGGGTAGAATTGATTTTTTTGTTATTTTTTCTTTAAATTTTTTGAGTAAAATAAAAAAAAAAAGAAACAGAATATAAATGTTGAAAATTGCATTATTTTTTTAAAAATTTTTGGTTTTTTTGTGTTATTACATTTCACAAAAATTTAGTTAATGTCGAATACTTTTTTTGACCACTGTATATAGATATGTAATAAATAATATTAATTCTCGATATAAAGATATTTAATGAATTTATAATACAGTAATCCCCCTTATAACGCGGTAGTTTGGTTCCGCGTTATAGAAAAACGCGTTATAAGGGTACCGCGTTATAGGGGGGTTTACTGTATTTGACATGTTGCAAATTATGTAAGAGTGTGCGCCGCACCTTAGAACAGTTGTCACTGATACTTTCTGTATCTAATATCTAAAGTTATAGTGTATCAAAAAAGGTAACATCGCAATCAATTTTCTATATATGTATATATATAACTTAAAATATAAACTTACATTTTGATATTATTCATACGCAGAAAACTGAAAATTGCATCATACACCACATTCGTTCCAACTTCAATTGCTCTCATGTGGTATTAAACCATAATAACTAACCGGGCAACGATCCAAAGATATATTTATTCTTATTAAATCAAAGCAATTATTCTACATTTTTTTAAAAATAGCTTATTTTTGATTGTTTCAATTTTTCGTTCAATATCTGGCTCAAAGAATACTTATATTCTTTGATCTGGCTGAAGCAGTTGACACAGCAGCTGTAATTTATTTACCTCTGTCAGTTTGTAAATCATGGTGAACTTCGTTACGATAATGCTCTTAAAAGTCTGCTTTCAAAAATTTTGATTTAAGAACGCAACACAAAAAGCGTAACAAAATATATCTGAAGCGGCTAATATCATACTCTTATGATATCTACATTTTTCATTTTAGAAACTTAATAAAAAAACCTAAATAGTGTATCAGAATTATGTTTACTACATACTACCAAACTAATTAAAAGTAAATATGCATAACCCAGACATATGTTTTAAGAAACTTATAGCATATTATATGCCTTAACCCATTTTGGACCACAGTGTGGTGCACCACACGGATAGCTTTAAATATTTTTTAATATTCAAAGAATATTTTATATATTTTGGGTAAAGATAAAGTGAGAGTAAACTTTCAAATAAATATTAAAATTAATTCATTTACTTAAACTTGTTTTATTTTACTATATACTATGGAAATTTCACCATAAAATTTCATGTCTTAAATTGCCTGGTACTTAATGGTATTTAGACGAGCATGGCCACTCAATTCAATAACAAATAATGTACAAAAATGATATATGAATCAATATTTAAAATGTTTAAAAGTATAATACGTAAAAATCTACCACAGGAATAAAAATTGAATTAAAGATGAATATATATATACTTTTTATATCTCCACTTTTTATAGCTATTTTCGTGATTTAATATCAGACAAAATAAATACAATCAAAACAAATTGTGGTGATTCAATTATCACAGTCGAATTACCCACGCAAGTATACCTCATTAATTACTAAAACATCTGAAATAATAATAAATTTACATCTATTGACATGTGAATAATTTGTAATTAATAATTTTTAATACTACTTTTATTAAATTGAAATTTCCTAGGAGTTTTTTGCACTGCACTTATGTAAATTTTTATTTATTTATTGCGCTTATTTATTGTTTTTGGTTAAAAGTTTTCAAATTTATTTATAAAACATTTTATAAAATGCTCACAATGGTAACACCTAATTTACCTAATTTTTATCTAATTTACTCTACTCGAAATTCTGGTAAATGCCAACATTCGCTGCCATACCGACATAATTTACTATTTCCTTAAATTTTTCATCAATTTATTCGAATTCGCACACGGTCTGACAATACATATTGATATATACAATTATTGTACGATAACAAACTCAAAAAATAATTGCGAAATTTTCGAACAATTCAACTATTTCTGTTATGTCAATTTTGACATTTGTGCTACTGTTTTGTTGTTGTAACAGGTTTCCATACATTTTTGACGTTTATGAGAGAATAACATTTTTGGTTGCAATTATAGTGAACGAGCCGGCACAAAATTTTTGATTTGAGTTTAATATATATGATGTCAGTTCAATAGTGAATTTGAATTAAAAACTTGAATGTAATTATGGAGTTTGAGGTGACATCTGAAGAAATTGAAATAGTGCCAGAAATTGACACATTAAGGTAAATATATGTTTAGAATTATCTGGATTAAATTATTAAATATATTTTATTGAAGTAATGAGGAAATAATTCATCGTTGCATCGCTAAAAAAAATATTGAAAATATCAATTTGGGTGATAAACGTGATGTTAAAACCGATAATCCTGAAGAAGCGAAGGAGCTAGAAATCTTTTATGGTAATTAATAAACTACATATTTCCTTACTAAGATTGTCTTCAATTGTCGTTGCGAAACCAATTATTTAAGATAATAAATTATAATCTTATATAATTTTAAGTAATGTAAACTATTTTACTATGATTATTTAGAACAATTGTACAATTCCTTAACAACTCAGCCACCGATTCATAACAAACGTATAGAGGCAGTTTGGGATCATGAAAAGCAAGCTGTGCGTGTTGTCAAGAAACAGGGTAAAATGGATAAATTTGGGTATACGAGCAATAAAGAATTATACTTAGAATATTTTGAAGCCTTATTTTTATTAGAAGATGTAAGTTTGTTAACAATATAAATATAAGTTTAAAATAATCAATTTTTAAATACAGAATCGTTTACTTTTGAATTATTATGGTATGCCAGCTACCTTAGAACAGGCATATTTATTGCTAATTGGTGAAGAAGCTTCAATTAAGTACGCAGAATATACGGTATACAGTACGTTGACGCGTATGGGTTACATATTGGTAAAATATCGGAATTGCAGATATAGTAAAGAAATAACGGATACCGATTGCATTTGGACTATACTTGAAAATGAAGTACAAGGTAAACCTATACCGGATGAAATAAGTACTTTTAAAAATTTTAATAATATAAAATGCTCGATGAATGAAAATAAAAACAAAATCAAAAATAGCATATCTTGTTTCAAAGATGATGAGTTGCCAGAAAGCAGTAGTACGAAACATATAAATTTTGCAAAAAGATTTAAATGTAACAAAATTTCGAATACTGAGAACTGTTGGCAACCATCAAAGCTATCAGCTCTCTCAACCTCATCGGGCCATTTGGATGAACTAAAAAGTGCCGAAACATACGAAAAATATCAAAATCTGTTCGATGAATTAGAGATAATTCAATTAAAAACTGATATTAAAAGTCCAGAAACTTGCAGAACATTTTCCATTAATTTCGATCTATATTTGCATCAAGGATTTCGAAAAAGTGGACCGGGTCCACCAATATTTCGATTGATTATTTTGGATCCAGATGATAAACATCCGACTCATGATGAAATTCTCATGTGCTACCGCCAACAATTACATCCCACTCGACTAATATTCATAACATTATCAACATCAAATCAACTAAGCGGATTTCATTGCTCATTTACATAAAATATAAATGCATATTTGAAAAATCGTCTTCTATTCAACTAATTGTTACAGTTCCTTTAACTCTTGCGAATAATTTGTTATGATACTAATTTATTTGTTTTTTTAAATATGTTTCATTTAAAATTATAGACTTGTAAAGAAATACCTACACATATAAAAAACTTAAAATCAAAAGTTAGAAATTAATATTTTAATTCGAAGTTCCTATAAGTTTTTTTTGTGATCAGTACGTTAAAAAAACTTAATAATTAAAAGGATAATTACAAAGTAGTTGAACTAACTTTATGTAAAAGTTTTTATTCTATATTTTCTTACCATAAGCTTATATAGAGTACGATTTTTTATGAGAATTTATTTACATATTTACAAATTATTTTATTATATACACAATTTTGTATAATGATAGATTATTTATTAAAAAACAAAAACTTATATATACATACAAGTTGTATAAACTTGAATTAATTATATATAATAAAAATTTTATATATTTATAAATTACTAAAATAAAATGTTATAGACTTTTGATGTTATATTATTGGCTTTATTACTTAAAATTAATATTACTCACAATATTTTCCTATACATGAGTATAATGATATTTAACTGTATTATATATTGTATAAAGCATTAAATATAAGTATACTTTTTATATGTGCAAAATTCATACTTTTATATTTAGATTGGCAACGGACGTTTTATACACATTATGCGCCTAATGATAATCTTGTTTCTATTAATATTAATAATTAATCTATTAATTAGTAACCTGGATAGTTTCCTTGTTCCTTAGAAATTCTGTTTCATTTATTTTATTTGAAAATAATTAAGTTAAATTCTTATGATGATCTCTTATGACTTATGATCGGCATTTATGATTTCATTGATGGGCATTTAGCGATTGGATTATAAGAAGCGTTTAATACTTAATTCTCTATACCAACGCTGTCCAGACCATAATTCATAATTGTTTTTAACAAAAATAAAAATACGGTTATAATGTTAAATTTAGTTTTATAAATATATCAATTTAAATTCATTTATTTGGCACACCAAAAGAAAATTTGGGTAATTGTGACAAAATAAAAATATTTCCCGGGCCGTGTTTTGGACAGTCCTGCTATATACCATGAAATGCAACGAACTATGACTTCGTTTATGAAAAGCATTAGACATACACAAGTGACATTTACTGGCACAATACGCCATTATTCTTGAATAATATATGTTTTCAACTGTTTTTTACATTATTTTGAAACTGATTTTCATTTTAGTGTTTTTATATTACCATATAGAAGAAATCACATATTTTACTTTAAAAACATTTTGATAATAAAAGGTCACTCAAAATTTGCTGTAAAACCCGAAAAAGTACGAATAAAGATCAACTTCACATTTTTTATATTGAAAATATCTGTTTAACATTATTAAATGCCAATCCAAAAGCTCTTTAGGAGAAGTATACATATATTGGCGTCTATTGGGAAAGGCTATCAGTACTATCAGAATCTAAAATGCTTTTAGGCACGTACAACCTAAAACGCTTCAAAGATTGCAATCCTAAGAATAATCTAAGAATTATTGCGGGTTTATTGACCGGTCACTGTATATTGAATAATCGCCTATCGAAGTTTTGGAATTCAATCCAACTCAGACTGTAGAAACTGTAAAGAAGAGAGAGAAACTGCATACCATATGCTTGTAGAGAGACCTGCACTGATGCACTAGCGGGAGAAACAACTAGAAGGGTGTTTCATGGTTCATTAGGATCCAAGACTATGAAAGATAGGCTCTATACTATTTTTCATTAAAGAAATTGGACTTGGAGTATCACTCTTAACCGACTGAGGTGCACAATAGATTTGCACGATCTCTTCTTTTCAATAATAATAATAATAATTAGTGTATATTGACTTAATTCAAGAAATGTGAAATAAATTTCTATGATTTGTTTGAAATATTTAAGTTTTTAGTTTAAAAATGATAATTTAAGAAACAAACGCTGATATTCTGGCCAATTATTACAAAAATGCTAATAATGTAAAATAATTAGATATTTAATACTGTACTTGAATCTCAGTATTATAATAATACTATTATTTAATTATGACAGTAAATTATTAAACGAATATAAACGTTTATTTTAGCTAGATATTTAAAAGCGAATGCCTTTTGAAAAGTCATATCAATTCAACAATTTATAATATACAATGTTTAATAGGGAATAATCGTTCTAATTTATATGTTATTTCATATCCTGACATTTTAGATTTTTATTTATATACTTCTTGCTACAAAACGATTGATAGAAATCATTTTAAGGAAAATATTTATACATTTTTAAGGCAATGGCTCTTTTTCCAAAAAGAAAAAAAGTAGAAAAAAATTTAGTGTGGATGAAATGCAAAAAGCAAGGACTTTGCTTAATCTATAACTTATAAGCTCAGATAAATATATGTAAGTTATGTTCAGATGCAACCATAGGTCTTTGGACAACAACGAAAATATATAGCATTTTACATATCGATGCAAACATTATACGTTTGAAAAGCATAGCGACGGCTTTCATATACGCAATTTCCAAACAAAGTAACGAACAGCGTAACATAAGGAATAAAAAAAATAGCATATCAAAAAAACTAAAAGCCTGCAATCAAATTTAACACAATTCAATTATTATTTAAAAATAAAGAATCTTTTATGTGTACAACTAAACTTAACTTTAAATAGTGCATTTCGTTTATTTTCGTTTTATTTAACATTTTCATGCATTAATTTGTTTATGTTTTACAGTTTCTTCAGTTTCTTTGTTTCTCTATCTTTTCAAGGCAATTCGCCGTCATATTTTCAATTTAAACAAGTGTCAATTTTTTCGACACTTGCACCACGTGGCTGCCATACCGTCATAAATTCCATATATGGATAATATTCTGTGCAATACATATTGCAATAAAGGTCTTTAACTGCGAACTGTAATAAATGCCATGCAGTCATTAAATTATTAAATTAAAACGTAATATAGTATTTTTTTTTTTTGCCTAAAAATGTAGTTTCATTACATTTATTTTTTTTTTGCGAACACGTCACATGTGTCAGTTACATTGCTTACTAATAAGCAGTTTTGCTTCATCTGTTTTGTAAGCAGCATGGAAAATGATGATATATATTTGGTAGAAATTTTGAATAAAAATAAATTTAAAAAAATTTCTACTAACTAAATTTAAGCTTAAACTCAATTTAAAAAAATTAATTCAGCGTAATTTATTATTAATATTGTATTATTATTATTAATGCAATTCATTTTGAAATTAACAAAATGCAATTCATTTTTAAAAGGTATCACATGTTTTCAAATTAATTTCCATTTAATTAACTTAAATAACATAAAAATAATTAACACCTCTCAATTTGAAAATTTCTATCTTCGATTTCTCATCAACGAATAAATTTCAATCAAAATATTAAGGGTGTTGACTATGTCTTGCAAGCTCATTTTAAAGTGCACGAAATGCACACCTTGCGCGAGCTTCCAATAAACAACAACAATATACCCACACAAATTTCTTATAATTCCTTGCAATCTTCCTATACCAAAACTTATGTATATATGCTTGTAACGAAACAAAAATGAAAAAAGAAACAGCTGTTTTTACATCTGTTGCTTCTCATTTGGATGTGGTATGCTGCAAAATCAGTATAGATGATGTATTAATTATCTAGTAAAATTATTCGATGTTCGTGTAAATACAAATTTATTTCATCGCATGTAATATAACTTAGTATTTTCGATGAATGTGTGGTATATTGTAACAATTTTGATATATAATCAAAACAAAATCTGTACAGACATTTGTGATAAAATAACATCCAAAGAAAACAAATTATTTTTTAATTGTCTTTTATTAGAGAACGCTGTCTGGAACTATTTCAATGGGGCAGAAACCAATACAAAATATGGCGGCTCAATACAATGTGCAGTAAATTGCAAATCAAAACAAACAATTCTTAGAAGAATTATCTGGCGAATGTTGTGTTTTAGCGAAGTGCACATAAAGCAAGCATATTTTGTATAAAAATAAATAATTAATATAAAATTATCAATTAAAATAATTGATAAGGTACTTATTGCATGAGAAAGAGCTTTTATGTGTCAGAAAGTTCGAAGAGAGTTTCTGTTTGTTCAAATAAACTTGATTTAATAATGCATTACATAAAACATTTTATATTTAATTGATGTATTAAATCATTTATATACATGTATTTTATATATCCATTACATACTAAATTGATGAATACAAAGATTTTATTAAATACTTACTTCTTCAGTTCGTTTGTTTACAGTTCAGCTGTTTGTTCACGTTATATACAAAATATTTTAAATTTCGGTCATTTTCCTTGTGGAAAAATTATTATTAATTTTAATTTTTTTATTTTTAAGTAAGTTAAAAAACACGAAAGCTCTTTGTATGGTTAACGAAATTTATATAGTAAGTGACATTTACTAAGTAAGCAGTGGAAACCTACTGTCATATGCAGATTTTTTCACAACTCTGAAAGGAAAAATAAATATAAAAAGTGATATTAAAATTAATATAATAATTATTAAATTAATATAAATTTGTATTGAGCGATATACGTATTTATGCAAATAGAGTTCTTGTGTCAAAATTTTTTTAGAAAACAAATATAAGAACTGGTGGCATCACTAACTGTCAGTGATAATTTTGACAGCGGCGCGTTAATTTAAAACGGTTGTCGTTTTTTGCTTCATGTTTGGTGTTGTTCAGCGTCCATATTGCTTTGAGTTGTGGAACTGTTCAGATGTGTTTAATGTGATGTGATATTCGGTAGTTTTAACAATAAGCAAATATAATTTGTATAGTTTTGTACTTTTGTTCACGTGAATTAAAAAACAATCAACATGAGTTCGAAAAATTCGGTGCATGTTGGTATTAAAATGCGACCATTGCTTCGCAAGGAAAAAGATGAAAGTGTTTTGTGGAAAGTTGAAAATAACTCTATTCAGCTAATTGAGGGAAAATCGGAACGCTATTATTTTGGTAATTGCATTCATAATATTAGTTAAATAAAACAAACTATAAGAAATGTCTAATGCTGTCAGTTTTAAATAAAACTGTTTATTAGTGCTTTGCATGTTATGTTATCTTGCATTTCGCATTTGTTAAAAAAAAAAAGTATTTTGATATAACTTGGCATTATTTTGTCCAATTGGAAATTTTTTGATGCAATTTTTGTTCATATTAGAATTCCTTAAATAATATTTGCGCAATAATACATCCTTGTGAGGTTATGCCGGCTTTCGAGTTATTTGCGCTATTTGCGTTATTTTCACTTCTTCTTCTTTCTTTTCTGGATGTCACAATAAAATTAAGTTTTTTTTTTATTACTAAAAATGATAAATATTTACCTACATTAAAAAAACAATTTTATATAAGTTTAATAAATTATTTTATATATTCTTAACAAAAATAATTATAAAATTTTAATGGGAATAGCGAAGGCGTTTGATAGCAAGATGTCAAATAAATAATATACGCGGTACGATGTTAATGTATGTGACATGTCAGTTATCCACAGACGAGGGAAGCTGTCATTTGCCTGTCGCGGTTTTGTTGTCAATTTTGTGTTGTCTGCAAAGCCGTTGAATAGAAAATACATAATTCTCATTTTCGGTTGGAGTAATTCAGATTACAATGTTAATACTAATATTTTTAATTAATTAAATTTAATTTCGAAAAAAGTAATTTATTTTTTTAAAGTTTCACTTAGAGTTCTTTAAGATATAAAATGATCATTATACTGTACTTGTGGTTGTTGTTTATTTCTATATATGTTAAGTTGATAAGTTGATCAACTATTAGACAACTATAGGCCTGGCTATAAGACACACATAGACCTATCAATTCTAAGTGATAATAGATGTAACTAAAATTCCACGTAAATTTGTAATAGGCGTCATGAATATTTAAAAAATAAAAAAAAAATAAAAAATAGTATAATTAATAAATAACCTATTTAAGTAGTAATTATAATTAAAATTATTAAAATATGATCATGAAAAAAGGTTAATTATTATATTAAAGGTGAATCATCGAAAGACACAGTGTAAAACTTTTGAACCCGTTAAAACCAACTCTTAGAAATGAATGGAAAAGATTTCCACAGTATTGAGGGAATTTCATTCCAGTAATCAGTGTAGAGGGATGTGAACATATAGACTTAATATCTAGCGAGCTAGGTTCATCTATGCTAGAAAGCAGGGGCGTAAATTAGGGACATAGGGTGATCACAGATCTGTATATATATAACAAAAAATTTATAGTAATAATATTAAACAAAACATATTTTATCAATTTCACACCGAAATTATTATTATTATATTATTATTATTATTATTATATTATTATTATTATTATATTATTATTATTATATTATTATTATTATTATATTATATTATATTACATTATTATTATTATTATTATATAATTATTATTATATTATTATTATTATAAGTATATTATTAATATTATTATATTATTATTATTATTATTATGTTATTATTATCAATATTATACTATTATTATTATATTATTATCAATATTATACTATTATTATTATATTATTATCAATATTATACTATTATTATTATATTCTTATCATTATTATATTATTATCATTATTATTATACTATTATTATCACATTATTAGTAATACTATAATTATATTATTATTGATTATTATATTAGTATTATTACAATATTATTATTACATCATTATTATTACATTATTATATTATTATATTTTTATCATTATTATATTATTATCATTATTATATTATTATCATTATAATATTATTATCATTATATTATTATACTATTATTATTACATTATTATAATAATAATAATAATATTAATAATATAATATTATTATTATTATTATATTATTATTATTTTTATATTATTATTATTGATTATTATATTATCATTACAATATTATTATTATATTATTATTATTATAATATTATTATTATATTATTATATAATTATCATTATTATATTATTATCATTATTATTATTTATTATTATTATATAATTATTATTATATTATTATTATTATTATATTATTATTATTATTATTATTATTATTTATTATTATTATTATTATTATTATTATTATTATTATTATTATTATTATTATTATTATTATTATTATTATTATTATATTATTATTATTATTATATTATATTGTTATTATTATATTATTATTATTAGTATTATTATTATTATTATATTATTATTATTATATTATTATTAATATTATACTATTATTATTGTTGTTGTTGTTGTAAGTCGCAGGGATCTGTAAAGCAAATAACACGAAAGAAATTACAAGACCAATACATGGGTTAAAATGTGGTTAGGTGTTGTTTGTGTAAGAAAAAAGAAGAGGCTATTTAGGAGTAAGCATGGATTGGGATATGGGTGGGATTTGGGCATATGTTGTTAAGAAGGGCACATGTTGTTATTATTAAGAATATATGAATATTATAAGAATATAATATATTATATTTGTTTATATGTATAGTTGCAAATTATATATATTCTTCTTTTCAGATCATATTTTTGATCAACAAAGTGACAATAAAATGATTTTTGATAGAATGGCCAAACAAATTGTTCACTCAAGTATACAAGGTTTTAATGGTACTATTTTTGCCTATGGACAGACGTCTTCAGGTATGCGAATTCTTATAATTTTATTGAATTATTTCTTTATCAAATTAATAAACCTTTGAAATTTTTCAGGTAAAACCTATACCATGATGGGGGATACGGAGAACCCTGGTGTTATACTTTTGGCATTTAAGGAAATATTTAAACAAATTGAACAAATTACTGATCGTAAATTCTTAATTCGGTATGTTTAGAAAGTATTGTTTTTTATTATTTAACAGTAAAAATCTAATTTTTTCACTTTATTATAGTGTTGGTTATATTGAAATTTATAATGAAAAGATCTATGATTTACTTGATAAGAAGAACACAGATCTGAAAATACATGAAACACCATCCGGTATGATAAATGTTACTTGCAAGGAAGCTTATATAACATCTGAGAAAGAACTTTTGTATCATTTTGTTACTGGTAATAAGGAACGGACAACTGGTGAAACAAATATGAATGAACGATCTAGCCGTTCGCATGCTATATTCAGGATCGTAAGTTTTGATTTTAATATTTTTTACTTTTTGGTTAAGTATTTAAATGAACATTTTTTGCTGTTCACTTATGAACTTATATATGTTATAAATATATACATTATACGTCAATGTCTATATATGTGAAATATACTTAATTATTTTGTTAATATTAAATATGTATTTTATGTTTAAATAGACAGAAAGTTCTGCCACTGAAATTTCTACAAGCCGACTCAATTTTTGACAAAATTGTTTTCTTTATTTAACCAATTATTTTGTCAATTTTTTTATAATTTTATCAAATTATTATATAAAAAAATACTTCACTGTACATATATCGTAAATATATATTATATAGTTATTATATTTATTATATTTATTATATAGTAATATTATAATAGTTATTGTAAATATATGTTTTAAATAGAGTCAAATTTCCATAAATCGAAGGTACCATTTTGCAAAGAAAATGTTTGACTTATGGAGACTTCGAGTTAAAGAATTTTTTTGTTATTGTATGTAATTTGATCTCTGAACCTTGTCATGTGATAGAAAATCGAGTTTTACATATTGCAAGTATATATTGTAAATACATATTGCAAATATATATTGTAAATACATATTGCAAACATATATTATAATATAATATAGCAAATATATATTCCAAAATATATACTTTTTCCCTTAATGTATATTTTACATATATTTACCAAATGAATATTTGTTATATTATTATAAGCAGTCTAGGCAGGCATATGTACAATTGTTTTTTCTTATCCCTAGACTCTAGAGCTTTAGTGACTCTATAGCTCGATTATATGTAAAATCTTTTGATAGCAAAAACAATGATCTATGTGTTCTTAAAATAACATAGTATTTGCAATTGCCGTTTTGAAATATAAAGAAAATATTGACCAAACCCTTAATTTCAATAACATTAATAAAGTGTGCGTTGGCTTTTTGTTTTATAATGCGAGTCCACGGTTGAAATTCGGCAGGCTTCGATTCCTGACACTTGTACTTTAAAAATATCTACAATAATTACATATAGTTTTCGATTAAAAAATTATTTCACTATTGTTCCCTTCCTTAACTGAAGATAGATATCTTAAGATAACACATAGCATTTTTCATTATAAATCTATACAAAAACATATTTTATAAATATATTATTTATGCATTATAATTATAAATATTAAATATACATTATTGTTATATATTAGAAATGCTTCTTATAAATATATGCTGCATAGAATGTTATATATACATTCTATATGTTATGTATACATACAATAAACATTCTATTATAAAACAAAATGTTTCGTTTACATTTAGATGATTGAGTCTACGAAAATAGACAAGGGTGAGGCTGTTATTCAAAGTGTACTGCATCTTGTCGATTTAGCAGGCTCAGAGCGTGCTGATCAGACAGGTGCTCGTGGTGCTCGTCTAATCGAAGGTGGTCATATAAACAAAAGTTTACATTTTTTGAGTCTTGTTATACAGCGTTTATCTGAAAATGAAGATGATAAATATATAAGTTTCCGTGATTCCAAATTAACGAGAATCTTACAAGCCTCATTGGGTGGTAATGCATTAACTGCAATTATTTGTGCTGTTAAACCATCGGCTTTAGAAGAAACACTGTCGACTATAAAGTAAGCTATAATAAAATAATTTATATTATAGATAAATTAAATTATACTAATGTTTTGTATTTATTTAGCTTTGCATTGCGTGCTAAAACGTTAAAAAATAAACCGATTGTAAATGAAAATGTGTCTGATGCTACGATGATGAGACGTCTCGAGCAAAAAATTCGAGCATTAGAGACTGATTTAGAAATAGAGCGACGTAAAAATGAATCTCAAAAGTCCAAAATTAAAGTCGGTGAATTAGAACAACGTTTAAAAGGCGAAACTCATAAAATTATTAATAATTCACTTCATGCTAAGCATCGTCGTCGGACTTGGTGTCCTGCTACAAAAAATCCAAATACTGAGCAGGGTACACCATCTACATCTTACGGTTTAGTTACGCCAGCTCCACAATCTCACAGCCACATGTTGTCATGTAATGTCAAGAAAATTTCTCCTGCTTTTTTGACGCCTCTGTTAACTTTGACTGCTAATTCTGATGATGATGAACAATTTGTACCTGGTGAAAAATATAATTTCGGTAAAGAACAACTAACACAAGTTCGCGAAGAAACAAGCCCAACACATGCGTTTGACGGAGAAGTGCGTACGGTTAGCATAACTCCAAGGAATACAGGCTCTAGGTATGTAATAAATTATTTTCTCGTTTATTGTTGGTGGTGCTAATTTACTATTTTATTAAACTAATTTTTAATTTCAATCTATTTTAACTATTCTATTTAATATCACCACATAATATTTTTACTACTTAGTCATTTAATATTTTTGGTGCATGTTTATATCTCAACTATGCACAATTATCATGTATAAATTACAATCTCTGTAAAAATTCATTTACTTATATGTTATCCATTGTATATAATAATCAATATATTACGAAATGCAAGTCGGGAAAAAATAGAACAAGATTTATTGGAATTAGAAGAATTTACCAACCTTGAAAATACCATACAAGTTAAACACGAGACCTATAAGGCACAGAGTGAAGTTCTTGAAAATCTTGTTAGTCGTAACCAATTGCTTGAAGGTGAAAGACGACAATATATAGCTGCACAGACTGAGCTATTGTTTGCCAAAGAACAACTCGAGAAAAGTGAGGAACGGTAAGTCTATATATATGCTATTCTTTGTATTGTGAAGCTTTAAAAATAATTATTTATGTGGCGGCTCTATTTTCATATATTAAACTACAATCTTAACCATTATTTTATAAAAAATCATAGCATGAAATAATTTTGCTTTCTAAAACTGGGTCTGTTTTCTTAATCAAAGTAGTTATATTCTCCTTATATGCCTTTTATATTCGTTTTATATTCGTTTAGTATTCGTTTTATATCAAACAATATCTAGCAAAAACAATATAAATATAGATAATCTTAGATAAAATCTTGGTAATAAATTTAGTTTAGTATCTTTTTAATAACACTTTTACTTTAGAAACCAGTATACATATAAATAATCTTATTCGTTCTCATTTTTTTTCAATCTTTTAGTAACTAGATGTTCATTTAACTAGATGTTAGTTTAACTAGATGTTATATTTAAAATGCATAAACATTAATAATCTGTTGAAAGTTATAAAGATTTATAATCATTTTAATATTGTGTACTTTATGCTTGTGTCCGTTTGGATTGCTGGTCCTAAGAGATCGTGTATTTTTTAAATCATTGAAATGGTATGAATTGTTTCTGTAGATTCAAAAGGTATAAAATTTCAAAATCAACAAAATGTTACATTTATTTTCAAAAGTAGAAAGTTTATTTTGACTAGAGCATTGGCTGTTAGATATAGCAAATATATTGGTTTATTAACTGATTTTGCCAATTTTTATAATTTATGATTACATTGATCAAATATTTCCTGAGTTGATAACATAAGATCACATATATATTGTTAGTGTGGTAATGTACTTTAATTTTAATTTGTATAAGCAAATACGAGATAGCAAGATAAGACAAAAAAAGAATGACTTCTGGGTCGAAATAGGACAAGAATTGTACCAGTCAGCTGCCACAACTAAAGGTGAATCTACTCAGTGCTATGGTATCTGTGCTTGACAGATCATTGTGTTGCAAAAAGACATTCAATGAAATTTGGGCTATAGAAAGTCATTATAGGGAACTATAATGGTGGATTGATTGAGGCCCTAAACTCCACTTAGGAGAGAAGAACAGCAGTGGTAGTAGTACTAGTATAATGATGGGTTATAGACTACTTTCGGCCTGCTGGTAGTTCTGTAGTAAAATAGGAAACTGTGCTTCACTCTATGTATTGGTGTCATTTGACCAGTCAAAAGAATGTTAGAAAAGTCTTCTCCTACCAGCTGACAGAATTATAATTCTATAAAATTATGGTACATTTGACTATAGAGACGTATTCGGTTAATTTTCCTTTGCTTAAATCAGGAATAGTGTTTTTTCAACATTGTCTGTGCGCTGACTGTTTTGATTTTCTACGAGTTTTTGGCGGACTATGAGGTTCTATGTCTTATCTGTTTTCCTATGGTATAATAAATATGATAAGGACACATTTTTTAAACTTAAGTGGACTTTGATGCACAATGCAGAGTTTCCAACATAAATCTGAACCTAGTAATAAATATAAGCTTATTCGTTTGATAAATTTGACCCGTTTGCAAGTGTGATAACTACGACTCCAAATTATTATATTATATATATAATCTATAATATCATTATATTATAATATGATAATGCTATAATATATATCTATATATATATATTATAATATTATTATATTATAATATGATAATGCTATAATATATATATATATATATATTATAATATTATTATATTATAATATGATAATGCTATAATATATATATATATATTATAATATCATTATATTATAATATGATAATGCTATAATATATATATATATTATAATATATTATATATTATTTATAATATGATAATGCTATAATATATATATATATTATAATATTATTATATTATAATATGATAATGCTATAATATATATATATATTATAATATTATTATATTATAATATGATAATGCTATAATATATATATATATATTATAATATTATTATATTATAATATGATAATGCTATAATATATATATATATATTATAATATTATTATATTATAATATGATAATGCTATAATATATATATATATTATAATATTATTATATTATAATATGATAATGCTATAATATATATATATATTATAATATTATTATATTATAATATGATAATGCTATAATATATATATATATTATAATATTATTATATTATAATATGATAATGCTATAATATATATATATATATATATTATAATATTGTTATATTATAATATGATAATGCTATAATATATATATATATATATATATACATATATATATATATATATGCTTTAATATATATATATATATAATATTTAATATGTAATATATATATATATAATATGTAATGTGTAATATATAATAAATATAATATATATAGTATATAATATATATAACGTATATAATGTATATAATAGATAATATATGATATATAATATATAACAATTATACAACGACAGTTGAACAATTGAGCTTGTTTTGAAGTAATTGACGTTATTCGGTTTTGTCAAATAACACATACCATAGGGAACACAATAAATGTCAAAACAAGTAGCGCAAAAATACGATTTGAGCAAAACAAAACAAAACAAAAACAGAAACAAAAACAAAAGCAAAAATAAAAACAAAATGTTAAAAAATATCAGGTATGAAAGAGTTGAGATATCTTGGCTAAATCATTATGTGGCTGAGTTTGAAGTACTTGGTGTTTTGCCGCCGTTGGTACGGGTGGGTTTTATCAAGCGGTGGCAGTCCGAGCGGTAATCACATTGTTTTGTTGTTTGATAAATTTACATTAATACTTTTTAAACCTATTTAAGTTCCTATTCTACAGTTTGGTTTAATTATTTATTTTTTGTTTTTATTTTTGTGCTAAATACAATAAATAAGCTGCCATATTGGAACGGTGTCGTCGCTTCAAAAGGCAACAAATTTGTTATTTTGATTGTGTTTTTTCATTTAGCGCTAATTTCGATCTGCTCCATTAAGTATCTCGATATTATTTATGCGCCATTCAATAATTTTTTTTTTATCGGTTTTTGTTGTTAGTGTTTTGTTTTTTATTTTTTATTTTTTATTTTTTTTTCTACTATTTGTTTTGTATGCTAATGAGCTTAGGTTGCGAATTTGAAACTCGTTGTTGTTTTTGCAGCTTTGGTTTTGTTGGTTGTTGTTGGTGTTGTGTACCCAAGAGTATAAATTCCACAAGATACGAATACGACTTTATTATTTAAATGTATTAAAATCTATAAGAAACTACAAAAAAAAAGATACAATTAAAAAAACAAAAAAAAAAAAAAACGAAAAAAAAACATGCACCAAAAGTGCATAGAAGAAAGTACATTTCTCTATTTTTAGTGCGTGTGAAAAGCGGAAAAATGTGTGAGATTTGTATCCAGAAGTTATAGATAATGTTCAGTGGTGAAGATTCATAGTATGTATGTGCATTGGCAGTTGGTGGGGCGAATTGTGTACTGTGTACGCGCTTTATATCAATATGATAAGTGTTTTTTTTTATTGGCTTCTATGTATAGCGTCTAAGTTCGTATCACATGTGCCTAAAACAGTTTTGATAAAAATATATAAGTTGAAAACCAATAATTTTACACTTGAAGTTGAATTAGTTGAATTGGTTGGAAAAAAATGTGAAATAAAATTAAATGATTAATTTAAAAAAGTAAAAAAAAACCCTTTCAACTTATTTTTAAGCTAATTAGTCGTTACTTAACGTTGTATTAAAATGTCATGTATTTACCAGTAACTGTTGTTATATATTCAAAAGTTTACCTACGCCTATCTTAGCTCATGTTTCTTGGTTTAAACAAAAAAAACATAAATAAATTATGTAAGTTTTGAAATTACTTTTTTAATTAAAATATTCAATTCAGAATATCACTTTTCTTATTGAAGATAAGTGCGTAGTTTTAATATTTTCTAATATTCTATTAAAAACAAAGAAGACATTTTTAAAATAATCACTTAATTAAATAGCCATAACAACGCGTTAAAGGGTTTCGGGCTGTCTCGACAGCATCTCTCTCAGCTGCTCCTGCGTATCTACTTTAATCTCGTACTTCAAGTGCGGTTAGTACTCTCACAGAGCTTGATCATTCCAGCGGAGACATAGTTTACCCTCAATTCTGCTTCAAATAGGTTTTCCACTGGAGCATTTTGATCCAATCTCACGATATGACAATGCCAGCGAACCCGCTGATTGTTATATTGATATTGAATTTTTTTAAATATATTATGATATAATTGACAGGAGACTTATTGGCTTATATGAAAGAAATAATTCTTAATCTTAGTTGTGCTTAGATAAGATTTTAGCCACTTTTCGTGCCACTGAAGAATACTTAATATTAATATAACAATTAAAGAAGAAGATGTTAATTGCATTTTTAATTATTCTTCTAGAAATGTCGATTTTTAAATTTGTTAAGTTTTTACATTGTTTATATTAAAAAAAACTATCGACGCCATCTAGCGCTAGTATATGTAATTTTTGCATTGACTACGTTAAGGTTAGTAGCAATATGTGGTAATTTTTATGAAAAAAATTACACATTTTAAAGCTCGATATCTCGAAAAGAACTGAGTTATATTACCAAGTAGCTCAGTGGAAAAATAGTTCTTCAAAATATTTGTTTTTACTAAAATCCTTTGTCAAATGGTTGTGTGTGGAAAATCGAAATCTTGTCTGTTCATACTTTTCAAAAAGTATATTTAATGAATTTGTTCAATAAAAAATAAAATTACATTTATAATTAAAAACTGTGTTTAAACTTTTATCTGTCAATCATTAAAATTTTACTAACTGAAGACAAATGTGTGTATATATTCCGGATGTATTTCCGGTACTGATTCGTTTCCGATTTTCGTATTGAAAAAATCATATTTTTTCACTTGACAATATTTTATTTTGAGTACTTTTGGCAATAAACAGAAACAGCGTTGTATATAAACTAACTAAAAATTTTTATTGTTGTATTTTCATTTCTATTTGAACACTTCAAGAAGGGTTCGGCAAAAAAAAATTAACATTGTTTTGTTTTTGAAATACATTTATCAAGTATGAATGACAATAAGTAATTATTTACTACGAGCTAAATACACTAGGTCCGCATATGGACTAGGTCCAGTGACATATCCATACATACTTAAAATATAATTGGTCAGCCAAAAATTCAATTAATTAAAATAATATAATATTAATCTTTGTTGTTGTTGTTCACTACAAATAATAATGTTATAAATATAAAAAACATAAGGGGTTTTATTTTTGGGTTTTTGGCTTATGATTCAGTTTCGGTTGATGGGCTTGGTTATAACATTAGCTTAGCGTTGAAGTATTTGTTCTATATTTAAGTTTACATTTTACAAATTAATAATAATAAAAATATATTTCAGATGTCGTATTTTGGAAGCAAAAACAAAGTCTTTAGAAGCTGACAACACGGATACAGATACAATCCAGTTTGAAGTTGAGTTAGAAAAGTATCGTAAGGAGTTGGAAGAAATTAAATCACAACTTTGTACCCAACAATATGAGTTATCAACGTGCAAAAGTCAAATAAATGCCTACAAAGTTGAAAAGTCTCAGTTTGAAGCTCAAATATTAGACTATCAGAAAAAACTCTCAGAGGTAGAGGAAACTAACCAGCAACTGGATATGGAAAATCGGACACTGGTCAGTTTGGATTTTGAATATCAAAGCCTAAAATCAAAATCACAACGACGTGAAAATGAACTGCTTGATGTGATAAATGATAAAGAAAAATTGATATTTACTTTGGAGTCTAAAAATAATAACAGAAGTTCCAATTTACATAATGGTGAACTCAGGTCTTGTGTGAAATGTGTAGATATGCAACTGTTGTTGGTTGAGAATAAAAAAGTAAAGGAGGAGTTTGATTTACTGACTTCTGAGTATGAAAAATTGCAAAATAATTTGAAGTCGACAGAGAAGGAAATGGCTAAAATAATGGCCATCAAAACAGCTAGTGATGATAATACAGACTTTCAAAATATACATGATGAGATAAATGCGTTGCGTAGTAAATTAGAAATCCTGCAAACGGAGTATAGTATTCTAGAAGGTAATAAGTGTGTGGCTGATATGAGAAATGATGAACTTTCTCAGTCTGTTAATGCAGCACAAGGTGAAATGAATTTATTATTAAAGAAATATGAAAAACTAGAACAATTGTGGCTCAACGAGAAGGAGAATGTTATTACTATACAGAAACAGTATGATGCCATCGAAATAAAGTACAAGACTTTAGAGGAAAAATATAAAGTATTCGAACAGTCAAATGTGAAATCGCTGCAAGTGATAGAGGGTTTGGAACGTGATAATAAGTTACTACAGGCAGAAATTAGTAACTTAAAAGAACAATGTATACAAGCTCAAAACCAGATTCAGAACCTTGAAAAAGGGAGGGATAGCCAAAATGAATTGTTTGAAATTAAAATAAGCGAATTAAAAGCGCAACTAAGTAGATCAGAGGCTGAATATAATAAAGGTTTGTATATATTTAATTTAATTTTGTATAATATAAATTACCTTTTTTGTTTTTATACATTTAGATAAATTGGATGAAGCTGAAAGTAGTGGCAATATCATAACTAAACTTAAGTTGGAGCTAAGTGAAAAACAGCAACATATAAATGAATTACAAAAAGAATATGATGTTTTATCTAATCAATTGATGGATAATGTACAAGAAAACGAACAACTTCGATCTGAAATAAATAATTTACAATTAGTGTCAATTCAAAAGCGAACAGTTAGTACGGAAACAATTGAAGCTGTAATTGGTTGCGATAAATGTCATGATGTAAATGTTGAAGATATACAGAATACGATCAAACTACAAACGGAGCAATTTTACGAATTAAGAATTGACACTGAAAAAGTGATAAATGAGTTACGTGAAAACATTAAAGTACTTACAGATGAATTGTTCGAAAAGTCATTGCTTGTGGAAAGATGCGCGTGCTCTGAGTATAAAAAGCAAATTCAAGATTTAGAAAAAGAACATGCCGAAATAACGTTATTATATAATGATCTACAAAAGAACAGTACACTTAAATTAGATCATTCTATGGATTCTATTAGTTCGAAACTATTTAATGATTCTTCAAATCATACTACTGGTGGATTTTTAATTCCCCCTGAAAGTGGCCACCTGAAAGAAATTGAAAATAATTATACAGAAATCATTAAAGAAATGCAAGCAAAAGAAATAGAACAGTTGCAAATCATAAATTCAAAAGAGCAGTCAATCGAATCTCTACGAGAGGAGCTGAAATTAGCATATGATAATATAGAAAAAGAAAAGAAGAATCTAAAGGATGTTGAAAATAGTATGGAACTAGCATTATATGATAAAATTGATGCTCATGAAATTGAACTCCGCAAGAATTTAAGAAATTTCAAACAGAATTATGAAGAACAAATTGCTAGTCTTGAAGAAGAAATTCAAAATTTAAAAAATTCTAATACAACTTTAATTGTGGAAACTAATAATATTGCAAAGGAAGAAAATTGTACAATTTCAGATCATATGAAAACTTTGGAAGATACAGTAGAAATGTCTAGAAAATACGGTGATGCTTTAAAAATTGTAAGAGATTTAAACGGTGAAATGGTTAAACTAAATCAAAATACCTCTGAGAAACAAGAAGTATGCATGGATGAAAACTGTGATTTACAATATGAACTAAATCAATTACGAAAACATTGTGAAAATATTAAAAATGTCAGGAATTTGTTACTTTATCAAAATGAAAATTTAAAATCTAAGTTATATATAATTTTAGTAAACAACGAACAATTTGCCATTGAGATAATGGAGCTTAAAGAATTTGTAAATTTACTTCAAGTAGAAAATGCAAACATAAAGTCTAAACTTCAAGTAGCACTTGATGAAAACAATTTGTATAGTGTGCATGTAGAACAACTTAAAGAATCGAATAATATGCTAAAAGTTACAAACAAAACACTAGAAACGAAGATTGACACTGCTGATGTTAATGAAGAAACAAAAGCGAAAGAACTTAATTCAGATAATCGTTTTGATTTAGAACTGGAAGGGGTTAAGCCGTTAGAACCAGTTTTAGACGCTTTAACTCCATCACCAAGTAAGGTTTTGTCAGATGATAATAGTCAAAAAAGTAATTTGATTGATCAGTATGTGGAACAACTAGAAGAGTGTAGAAATATATTAAAAGCGGAAAATGAAATTTTGAATTCCAAGCTCGAGGAGGCTGAGGAGAAAAATGATCGTCTTTATGTGCTACTTAATGAAATTAAAATATCAGAGACCGCTTTCAAAGATGAAGCGTTAACATTACACTTTAAACTAGAAAATGCCAAAGAATACAAAAAAAAGGTGAATGTATTAAGTGAAAGAAATAATTCACTAACAGGAGTAGTTGACCAGCTTGCTTCTGAAAATAATCATCTTAATCATGTTATAAAGTGCCATACCGAATTAACAAATAGTCTGCAAATTGAAATTGAACAGAAAAATGTCCAAGTGGAAGCTTACTTAAGCGAAAATATGCAAATGAAATCACAGATAGCAGAGCTGGTTGATGTAAATAGTTCACTTAAAATCGTTAATGAAGACTTGAAAACTGCTTTACAATTAAAAACGGATGAAATAAGTGAAACGAAAATTCTTTTAGATTCTTTACAAAAAGAAAACGATTCGGTAAATTTAATAAGTTCCAAACAAAATGAAGAAATCCAAGATCTCATTAAGCAAATAAAATCATTAACAGATATTAATTCCTCGCAAATAACAACAATCCAAGAGTTTGATGAAAAAAATCGCGATCTAACTACCCTACTGCATTTAGTAGAAGCTGATTGCAATGCCGCCAAACAATTGGAAAATAAATCAAAAGTAGAGTTGTCAAATTTATTAATTGATTTTCAAAACCTTATGGAAGATATAAAGTCTCTTCAAGATGATCACAATAATCTGATGGAACATTTCACTGTTTTAAAAAGTAGTACAAGCCAGTTGGAATTAGATTATGCAAAATTGGAATCTGATGCTGGAGAAAGAGAAAAGATTATTCTTCAGTTAACAGCACATAATAAAGAACTAAAGAACGAGATTATATATATGGAAAATGAAAGAGAATTTGTAAAAAATATAGATCAGCTTAATAAATTAACTGAAGAGAATAAATGTTTGCAGACTGAGCTTGATGAGCGAAAAAATTCGGCAGAAATATCTGAAAAGATATATAATGAAAAAGTTGTTGATCTAGAAAAACTGCTAGAACAGTATAAAAATGAGGCACACAAAGCGCAACAAGATTTAGTTAATGTCATAGATATATCTGCGCAGTTGGAGCAAGCAAAGGCAACTATAGAAGAACATGCAGAATGTCGTGATAATGTTATAAAATTAAAATCTACAATTAAAGGCCTCAACAAACAATTGGATGATGTAAAGGCAATTGTGGCAAAACATGCAGACTGCGCACAAATACGCAAAAAATTAGATATTAAGATAAGTCAACAAAATAAAGAATTGGATCATGTAAAGAAAATTGTAGAAAAACACACGACATGCAGCCCAGCTCGTCAAAAACTGGAATCAAAACTTGTCAACCTTTGCAAGCAATTAGAACATTACAAAGGGATTGCAAAAGAACATTCGAAATGTGATAAGACCATGGGCGAATTGCAATCTAGGCTCATGAGTCTTATCGCAGAAACAGAGAGTAAAAATGTTCTTTTAGAAAAGCATGCGGAATGCGGTGATATAAAAAATAAATTAGAATCCAAAATTCAGGATCTTTCCACAGAGTTGGCCAAAGTTACGAAGGCTGTAAAAGAGCATAAAGATTGTGTAAATTTATCCGTAAATCTAGAGCCGAATATCGAATATTTAAAGCATACTAATATATCTCTGATAAAACCGAATGAAAGTTTAAATAATACATTGGTTAAAAGTCATCGTAATGCAAATGACCAGATTGCAATGCATAATTATACAAATACTTTGGAAGAAAAAGAACGGCTAAATTTGCAGCTAAATTATTTAGAAAAAGAAAATGAAAAACTACAAAATCAAATTGAAAGTTTACAATTTCAATATAAAGAATTGTTGAATGAGAATGAGAAATTGACACAGTTGAGTTTCAATAAGAAATTATCAGATGAACAAATATCTCAATTAAATTCCGAATTATCGAAGTACAAGGAAATTTTACAAGAACAAAACGACATTAACACCAATCTTCAAGAGAAATTGGTAAGTTCAAGAATTTTATATACAATTTGGTAGTTATTTTTTATATTATTCACATTATTTATATTCACATTATTTGTATTATTTACTTTATTTACTTTATTTATGTTGTTTATATTTGAATTATAATATTGTTTATTATTTATATTGTTTATTATATTTATATTATTTATTATATTTATATATTTATTATATTTATATTATTTATTTTAATAATGAGATTAATTTAACCAGTTCGTTTTGTTTTTTTAAATTATAATTTTTATTTAGGCTACTCTGGTCTTGTGACTGGGACGCATATAAAAAATTAATTGATTTTGTCGGGTGGAAAAATGAAATAAATTAATTCTTTATTTCCATCCCAGTCACAAGACCAGAGAGTAGCCTAAATAAAAATTATAATTATTTTATTTACATAACTTAGTTTATATTAATCATTTAATTATTATTTATTTTATTTATTTTATTTGTATTATATATTTTATTTATTTTATTTGTATTATATATTTTATTTATTTTATTTGTATTATATATTTTATTTATTTTATTTGTGTTATATATTTTATTTATTTTATTTGTATTATATATTTTATTTATTTTATCTATATTATCTTTTTATTTATATTATTTATTTTATTTGTATCATTTGTTTTATTTTATTTACATAGTTTATTTTATTTTTTTTATATATATAATTTATTTTATTTATATTATTTATTTTAAAGTTTAATTAGTATCGTCGATAAAGCTACGCTTTCTTTTTTGTCATGAAGCTATTTATTTAAAATTAAGAGGGTTTCGAATAGCAAAGAAAGGACAAACACAAAAATTTAGTTAATTTATTGAAATTACTCATCATCTGTGGTCTTAGGAAATATTCGAAATTCTTATTTAGTTTATAGGTCGTATATAATTTGTTTGGACTAAATTGTTTGGACACAATTAGCCAACACTGTCAGGTTTTGGGTGAAAAATCTTTTATTAAGCTATATATATATGAATATTGTAACTATATTTCTATCAATTTTAAATTTTAAGCTAGCACCTCATAAATGGCCGAAGCCAAAGAGAAGAAAAAGTTAGATGAATGATTAAGAAAGTAATTAAGCGCGAAATCCCTTTAGTCTGCTGTAGTAACCATTAAGTTATTTAAAAATTCTCAATACGTACTTAAACACTTAAACTATATTTCTTATTTAAATATGTTACGTTAAGTAATGAATATGTCTATTAATAATTTCATTTTATTTTCTAATAATAGACTTCAGAAGAGGATTCTTATTTAAATCAAAAGTCTACTCTTATCAAAACTATTAATTCGCTTACTAGTGAAAAACTAGCTCTTGAAAAGAAGCTCAATACAATGCAACTAGCTGTGGTGAAACTTGAAAGTGAATTGTCTCAAAAGAAAATTGATAGTTTCGGTAATTTAAATGAAACAAATCAGTCTTCTTCATCTTTATCAACATCTCCAGAACGCAGAAGCTTGGATCTAGTTAAGGTAAGAAGGAAAAAACTAACTTCCTTTTAAAACTGTTTGCAAATGTGTATACACTTATACCCCGCAGTTTCGACTTCGATTTGCGTTGGTGATGTTTCGATTTGCTTCGTATTTTAATATATGCGTACGGAGAGGATTCCCATTTTATTTGTTGAGGATCATATTTTTTTAAAAGGGGACTTATATGTATTAAGTTTTTAGTTAAAAGGTGTTAGTTTACATTTGTGTTGTGAAGTGGAAATGTATAAAGAAAAGTATAAAGAAAGTATAAAGTATAAAGAACAAAAGTTACACATTTAAAAATGTTTTTAACTTGGAGAAAAACCTGCTGACATTGTGAGAATTCTAAGTCCAGCTTCTGTAAGAACGATTTGTAATCCTGATGCGGACAATATAAAGAGCTAAGCTATAATGGAAAAGCTGTCACACATTTGCAGGTCAAGCAAGGAAGTCCATTAATTGCAAAAATGGAGTCCTTTAAATCCATTTGGATAGAAAATTAGAATCAAAGAAGAGTGCCTTTGAGCAAAATATTAATTCAGAATAAGGCCCTGTCGATGTTCAATGAGTTAAAACGTATTTGTTTATAAACAAGTGGTCAAAAAGCACCATATTTTTGGGAGATATGTGGTTAATGTAATTCGTTTTGTATTGTTTCAATTTCGCTTTTTGTTGGTCCCAATTAACGACGTAAATGTAAACTAACTCTTTTTAACTAAAAACTTAATAAATGTAAATTCCCTTTTAAAAAAATGTTACCAACAACATAGAAAAGGATGATCCCCTCTGTAGCATGTATTAAAAATCAAAGCAATTCGAAGTCAAAACTTATGTTTTTTTTGGGAACGCAATTTGAATTAACGCAAATCGGGGCGACGCAAATCGGAGTATTAGTGTATTAGTTTTAAACTATTTATATTGATGTAATGTTTTTTTTGTTAGGTTTATAAATAAATAAGTTCCGTTTTATAATTTCACATTAAAAAAGTTTATTAAAATATTTTTTTTTTTGTATTTTTAACATTCTCCAGAAATCTATTAATGTGGAAGATAAGTTATCTGATAAAAAGGAAAAAATTATTCAACATGAAAGCGCAGAACGTAGAGACAAGCGTCGAAGTGTGTACGATGAAAGACGTCGTCAGTCATTATGGGGTGCCTATCGTGACGTAGAAGTAATGACAGACCCGACTGGTAAGTTTATAAATAATTTATTAAACATTTCTGGCTTTAAATTTTTAAAGGGTTATCTATTTTACGTTCCTGATATGTTTCAGTCACATGTGTCTAATACAAGATTTAGTTTAACTTTTGTCATTTTTTAACATTTATCGTTTAATACTCAGTAAACTTGTTAAAATTATGAAAGCTTATTACAAAAATGGTGATGATTGGTAAGGTCCACTGATTTTAACCTCAATCAGAACTCTATGTTATCTAGCAAATTAATATGAATTATATTTTTAAAAATGGACTTAATTACTTATTTTTATCATTTTCAGACGCAAACTGTGGTTGTATTGAATTAAATGAAAAAGTTAAGGAATTAACATCCACTCTCTTTATACGGGAAGGTCAAGTAACTACACTTAACATGCAATTAAAAAATCATCCACTTAAGTCTGAAAATGTGAGACTGAAACAACGATTGCACGAAGAGCAAGAAAATCATCGTTTTGAAATAAAACGTTTTAAACAAGCAGTAATTGATGCAAAGAAAGCAAAAATGGTCGTTGATATCTCGAAAAAGTCTGTGAACTCTGCAAACTCTGATACAAAGGCTGTTGCTGCAATTTCATCGCCCACATGTGAGGTTAATGGCAATAACGATGCTAATGTTACAGATAAAGTAAAAAAGGATATGGTGGAAGCTGGCACGCAAACTATGGGCGAGTATGACACGATAATTCAACAATTGGAGACGAAATATCGAGACCTTCGCACAGTTTGCCGTGCTCGTTATAACGAAATTAAGAAGCTAGAATCACAAATAAGTGCTGGGAAGGAAAATCAGAATAATTCTGAAAATAAAAGCGTTCTTTCGGCTTTAGAACTTAGTCAATTTAAGGCTCTTAAGGTATTTATTTTATATAATATTTATGCGAGTATATATATGTATGTTTAACTTTTCTTATCTTCATTTTTAGCTCAAACTGGAGATTACTGAAAAGGAATTCAAAGAGCTCAAAATAAAATATGAAGAAGCAAAGATTATTTTGCACAAACGTCAGGAAGAAAATTTAAAATTACGCGCTTCTCTCTCTGAGAATAAATAGCAGTTATAGTATATATGTAATTTTTGTTTATAGTACTTAATCACAAAACACTGGTGCTAATAATTTTCAAGTTTAATATACTTAATCTAATCATTTAAAATATTTTAGATTGTTCAAATGTTAAATTGCATATACAATTAATTAATATTAATACTTTAATTATATAAAATATACATATAATAAGTAAAACAATAATTTAATTGTAAAGAAACATAGTTGATGATTTTAAACATCTAAATTAAATACGAACATTTAAGTTCTTAAAATTAAAAATATTTTGTAATATTTTTGGTCATTCAAAAATAAATTAGTCATAGTCTTTAAGGCTTTTGTAACTTAAAAACACATAAATTATTTATTTCCCTTTCGCAAATAAAAATTCAATTAAACGAATACATTTTTTCATCCATTGCACTATTTTGTTTAACATATATACATGCTTTTTTTATATTTTATTTTATATTTTATTTTATATTTTACTTTATATTTTATTTTATATTATTTTCTTCCTTTATATTTTGCTTTCATTAGTAACTTTTCTATTACCAATACAAGTTTTTATAATTGATATTAGGAAATAATATTAAATATTTTTAATTACTATTTTAAACAAAAGCATTTATTGTGACATTAATATAAGTAAATTTGATCTAATTTTTATGTTTATTTAATTTACAAATTTATTTGTTTTAATTTATCTTATATATATATAAATGTGTTTATTTATATTTTACACATTTATTTATTTTATATATTTCTTTGTTTTATACATTTTTTTATTTTATATATTTCTTTATTTTATATATTTATTTGTTTTATGTATCTAATTATTTTATATATATATTTTTTTCATATATCTACGTATTTTATATATTTATTTATTTTACATATTTATTTATATTATATATATATTTATTTCATATATTTATTGATTTTACATATTTATTTATCTTATAAATATATTTATTTTAATAAAATACGCAGGAGGGGAGGTGGGTGTGGAATTCTGGCAACGATCTTTCAGGTCATCGCACTCAAAAATTTTGCGAAAGATTATTTTTATAAAAATATGTATAAGAATATATTATATGTTAATTAGAAAAATATTTATAAGAATATAAAGATATTATAAAAATATTAAGATATAAAAATATGTGGATATGAAAAAATTTATACTTATAAAGTTTATTATAAAAATATTTACAAGAGTGTGTATTTATTGTAGAAATGTTTTTACGAGTATAGGTTTATTAGACAAATAATTGTAAGAATATAATTCAATAATAATTATGTAATATAAATATACATAATTATTACAAAAATACAAAAAATATACATATATTAATATTTAATAATATTTAATTGTGTAAAATTATAAATATATCTTTAAAATAGTATTAATAAAATTTATATATAGATACTATATAATTTACATATTTATATAGCATTTTAAAGAACAGTTTATATATACATAAAAATCCTTTTTAAATCAAGAGAGGATAAATTTGATATAAACTTTGTGTAATTGTTTTTTTTAATAATTAATTGTGAGTTTTTTTTTAATAAACTGTTTAATGAAATTTGAATATAATTTAAATTATAAACGAAACTGAAATAAGAATATAAAGAATAATTTTAAAATGGCAAAATAATTAGAAATACTAATTTATTAATTCGATATTTGGAATATTAAATATAGTTTAATAATAAAGATTGATTTCGTTTACTAATAAAATATCGGAATAAGGAAACTGTGTCCTTAAGAAACAAACATTTTAAATGAATTGTTTTATATCTGTTCCATTTGTATTTTAGTTAAGATAATATTGAACATATAACAGAATTATTTATTGAATATATATAATATAATAAAAATTGAACATATATAGTGTAAAAGGTTATGTAATAAGTAAAGCCATAATAGGTATTGTATTTAATATTTGAAATATTTAATACTAGTTTATATTAAAATATATATTTTATAAAGTATATGCTGTATATTTTATTTAAATGTTATTTTAAACTACGTTTACATTGTGAGATTAAGAAAACAAGATTAAATTAATGTGCATTTTTAATCTCCACCGTTTACATTATACATTCGAGATTAATTTTGACGCTTCTCTTGTTGTGTTTTGTTTCGTGGGTTTCTTAAATTTTTGTATATAAAGCATTTAATTACAATTTTGTAGGAAAAACTTGTAATATAAATTTAAAAAATAGTTTTATAACAATAATATAACAAATTTTAGTTATAATTATGTACAAAATTATTATTAAACAAATTTATTAAAAATTTACTTACTTCGGCATTTTCCAATTTTCAATATTTCTTTCGAATAGATTTTGATATATCTTTTCTAATTCTTCTAAAATCGTAAAAAAATCTACGATATTACGCCATTTGCAGAGTTGTATAGAGAAATAATCACCATTTCGAAGGAGATTCACAATTAATCTCGACCAAAATGAGATTAACTTTTGTATGGGAAATCTGTGATTAGCACAGAGATTTGTACTTAAATCTCGTTTATTGCTTTATTCTACTTTTAATCTCACAATGTAAACGCCGTATAAGGGTTATGTAGTTTTCATAATCATCATAGCAAACATTTTTACTTTTATGCTTTAAATTAATTAAAATTTTCTTTAATGATATTCTTAAGGGTTTTATCGTTTAATTGGGCTATGTTAGAGAAATAAAGAAAACATTACCTTAGTTACTTGCTGCTTTTTTGTCAGGATCATATTGATCGCCCGGCTTTTTGCTTTAACCTATGCCTACCTATTTTAATGTGTTATCATCTGCATATTCTAATTTAAATCTAATGGCTAATTACATATGAGCTAATAACTCATCAATTAATTTCTTACACTTTTGTGTATCTCGTAGGAAAATTATTTCTCTATAGTTGAGTAAGTAGTCTATAATAGAAAAAAATTTTTTTTTATTGAATTCAATCAATATAGCATTGACATTTTGTAAAATTTACATGAAGAATATAATATTTTCATTTGACATATATTTTAAAAAATTCGTTTGTGTTGTTTACATTTTGTAAGGAAGAAAAAAAATATACTTTCATTAAAATAAATAAAATTTTTTTAAGATATAAAAAAAGTGTTTAAAAAATATCGTTTTTGTAAATATTATTAAATGTGGTATAAACAATGCCACCCAAGAGGGACGTAAAGATGTCACCAATAAAGGATGCTAAAAAGCCTCCGAAGTATGTAGCTAAGGTGGTATCCAAAAAAGACAAAAAGATTCCAGTAAAGCAGAATATTAAGGAACCACAAGGACAAAATGTCAAGGTAATATTAAATAAAGATGTTAAGGCAACTCTAGGACAAAATGTCAAGGTACCATTAAATAAAGATGTTAATGAACCACTAGAGAAAAATGTTAAGACACCGTTAAATAATGATGTTAAGAAACTACTAGAGTATGATATTAAGGCACCATTAAATAATGATGTTAAGGAACCATTAGAGTATGATGTTAAGGCATCGTTAAATAATGATATTAAGGAACCACTAGAGCAAGATGTTAAGGCACCATTAAATAAAGATGTTAATGAACCGCTAGAGCAAGATGTTAAGGCATCGTTAAATAAAGATGTTAATGAATCACTAGAGCAAGATGTTCAGGCATCGCTAAATAAAGATGTTGAAGAACTACTAGACCAGGATGTTAAGCAAGATGTTTGGGTGCCACTAGAACAGGATGCTGCGCTGCCGCTAAACCAAGTTATTGAGGATCTAATAGAGCTGAATGTAAAGGAATCACTAAAGCAGGATATTAAAATGCCATCAAATGAAGATGTAAAGGTCCCAGTTAACCAAGATGTTAAGGAAGCACTAGACCAAGATGTCAAAGCGCCATTAAAGCAGCAGGTAAAAGTGTTCCTAAAGAAAGATGCTAAAGTGCCATTAAAGCAGGATGTTAAGATCCAATCAAATCAAGATGTTAAAAAACCAATAGAGCAGAGTGTTAAGGCGCCTCTAAAGCGGGATGCAAAAGTGCCCCTAAAGCAAGCTGTTAAGCTGGTACTAAAGCAGAATACGGTGCCTCAAAAGCGGGATGTAAACGTGCCACCTAAACTGGTTGGTAAAGTACCGCTGAAGCAAAAAGTGCTACCAAAGCCGGACGTTAGGGTGCCACTAAGGCAAGGTGTTAAAGGGCCACTAAAGGAGGTACCATTGAAGAAGGACGTTAAGTTGCCACATAGTTATGTACGTAAGGGTGACGCACCAGATGTACATGCTTTGGAGATGGAATTAAAGCATTTCCGTGCTTTGGTTGAGGAGAAGAACTATATTATTCAAGATTGTAAATTTAAGTTCGATGCTTTAGAAGAAATAAAGAAAGCTCACTTATTACTTTACTCAAGTCAAATAGCAAAACTAGAGCAAAAGGTAAAGCAACTACAAGAAGAGAATAATTCCGTGTTAAGCCGTAAGGATGAACTCGCACAACTCTTAGTTAGGAAGGATGAAATTATAGATTCTCTTACCGTACACTGTTCGTGTGGTAAGTAGAAAGATCTTGTTGCAGTATCTATACTTTTGAAAAACATTTCCTAAACAGATTTGAATATTTTTGTAATTTTTTTTATCTCCGTTTATAATTCAATGTTTGCTTATTTAAAATGTTAGTATATATTATAATAATATTTGACTTATATTTGCAGTAAGTAAAGTATTTTGTACCGCGGAAACCGCAGAATACATTACTAAGGATAAAGATTTTTATGTCGTACTTCAATCAGACAAAATCAGTATGTGGACATCAATGAGCAAAGAAACTAAAATTTTAACAGAATTTGATGGTACCAACAGGTGTTCTAACACTGAAGAATTTCTAAGAGAATTTAATAGTAAACTGGCAACTCTGCGCTCAGATTTGATTGAGTTAAATATTACAAAAAGTAATTTTGAAATATTCAGTAATGTAATTACTAATACAAACCCGTCACTAATAATTCCAACGCAATCTGATGCAATTGCTTCATTAAGCGAGATCATTTCTCAGATGCTTGAGAAAATAAAGCCAGTTGATGTACAAAGTAACTTACAGTATCCCAAGCCGGTCAAAAGTTTTCCGGAATCTGAGCTCATGGACGAACAACCTGTACAACTTGAAAAAGTGTGGTATTCTCTTAAAGCAAATGTTACTAGCATGCAAAACTGGTGTGACAGTTTGAAAAATAAATACAAACTGTTAAGTGAAACAAATGAGAACTTGGAGAAGTCCCTGGCTGACTCCTTGGAAAATTGCAACCGCTTGCAATGCGAAAATGATTCCTTGAAATCTGAAGCAAAGAAGCTAAGCGAAACAGATTTTTCAAGTAAGTATATTTCGTTTTTACGAATGTTAGCTTCTCAAAATTGATAATAATATTATATGGTGGGACGTTGGGACAGCGCACTGTCTAACAAGTGGCCCCACTGAAGTGAAGGATTAGTCGAAGTAGACTACGAAACGACTTGGGTCCTTTTTCGTCCTTCGATTCTCGGATGTTGTTATTGAATTAAACCTGGAGTCGCTTCCATTCGCATAACTACATCTTTTGTTAATGCAAGCATCTCATTTAGCTTGAGGTTTCCTGCCAAGTCGTCACCAACCCAATAGTGTCCCAAGACAGTCTTCCTCCTACTTGCCAGTGCTGGACATTGGCACAATATATGCACCGCTGTCTCCTTTTCTTCTAGACATAGTCTGCAAGTGTCTTCCTCAGCAAGAGTTATCTTTTTGAGGTGATACTTGATAATATTAAAAACCATGGGTAAGGGGTATAAATGTCCTGCATATATAACCAGAAGGCATCAAATATGAGTTTTTATGAGTATGAAATCCGTAGGCGCCAAATGTATCTTAGTCATGTTAGAAAAGTTAGGGGTTGACTACCGGCGGCTCATGGATTCGTGTCTAAAAGGTTTTAATAAAAATATTTAACTGGGAATAAATTAAGTTGACATTTCATATGATATGATATATATGGTATATAATCATAAATATGATTATGTCTATGGTGCGTATATAGTTACCTCTAACTCTCTGGGTCGCGCTTGAGGAACTCTTTGTCAATTTGTCTTTTCGTGAAAATTTGCTAATTTTTGGTGGTATATATATTTTAAATCCTTTCTGGTATTGCTGGTATTTTGGTGTTCTAATTAAGTTTTCATAAGACCTTTGCTGTGTTCAATGTTTTGTATTACTCATTGCAAGTTATTATCCTTCTGATAAATTTTTAATAGATAGTGTTATTCAGTTGAAGTTTATGGGAATTATAATAAGAATTGAAAGTTGGGGATTCTCCGGCTCGTCAGTTTGTAATAATATGAAGTTGTTATATTATTTAACATAATCTGATTAGTAATAATACAATATATTTGATAATATTGGTACAAATTTTAATACAATAATATAATTTCAGGTGATGATACCAACCCTTTTCCGGAAACATTGAGAAAGTTGGATGCTGTGCTCAAATTCAATGCAAAGCTTTCTGAAGAACTTGAGTGGAGCTTAAGACAAAATCAATCTTTGAAAGTTCAAGTTAATGAAATGGACAGTACTTTTAAACAACTCGAAATGATTCAGTCGAGTAAAATTGAAATTGAAGCCAAAAAAACCCAAATCAAAGGTGATTTAGATTATCTACAATCTCAAATGAATACAATAGTTTCAGAGGATAGACTATTATCACAGTCTGAAGTTCGTGAAAAAGTGAGTGAAATTGAAATATGCTTAGATAAGGTGAAGGATCTCACTTCAGTAAAACAGGAAAGTGAAAAATTGTTACTTCCTCGAGATGACTTAGGCATCACATGTGAACCTTCCGTATTGCAGTGCAATATAGTGACTAATGATGTTGAGAAATCATTTGTTGCAGACGATTGCACAAATGATGATGAAGTAAAAAATCTTCTTGAACAAATACAACAACTAGAATCAGAAAATTTAGAAGTCAGTTTAGAGAAAGAAGAAGTCGATTTAAAGTACGAAGCTGCGTCTAAAAGCTTAGAGTCTTTATCTGCAGAATTGGCTGAACTTAAAGCTATGAAGAATGTGAAAACTGAGAAGTGTGCTGCAAAGCCAGGTCAATCAAAAGTAACGTATGTGAATCAAATTGAGCTAAGTGCGTTAAGAAAAAAATGTAAAGAGCAGGAGACAAATATAGCGAAACTAAAAGTTTCAGAGAAAAAGTTAAAGACTGAAATGACAAAGTTAAAGTCTGATTTAAATGCTGCACAACAGAAGACTAAGTATGGAAAGAATGATCACACTGACTGTCAAAAGCAAAAAGCAGATCTTGAAAGCGAGATTTCAAAAAGGGATAAGAAGCAGAAACAGTTGTTGACGTCTGTTGCAGAGCTTAGTGCCACTAAAAAGGATTTTGAGACTTTAGTTGATAAACTTAATGCCGAAAAACTTGAATTAGAAGCTGTAATAGATCAATTAAACACTGAAAATGATGAAAATAAAATAGAGTTTGAGCTTATACAAAGGAATGTAAGTTCTTACTTAAAAACTATATCTGATTTTGAATCTGAAGCTAAAGACAAGGCCATGGAATTGCAGGAACAATGTGAAGCAAAACAGTGTTTCATTGATGGCTTAAAACGGTGCAAAGCCTTGTGTTATAATTTGTTGAGAGAAAACAGTGGCCTAGTACAAAAGTTGGACTCAAAACTTATCGATCCGGGTGAAATTTCAGCTATGGATCGCTTGAAGGCAGACACAATAGAATCTTTGAAAACTTTGAAACAGCAAGTTGAAGAGTTTAAAAAGGCATTACACACAGAAAAAGAATACTGCTCTTACATTGAAAAAGAAAATAATGAGTTTCAACAAATATGTACTGCTCACATTAATAGAATTAAGAATACAGAGGCTAAGCTTGATGAATATATTATGAAAGTTGCTGAATCAGAAGAACTATTGTCGGCTCAGGAAAAAGAGATCACTGCATTTGCGCTATGGAAATCCGAGTGTGAGTGTGAGAATGAGATGCTGTTACAAAAACGCGAAGAATTAGAAAGGCTGGTAAACCAAACAAAAATTGAACAGCATGAAAAAGAAGATCAGTTTACAGAACACTTGGATAAATATAATATACTTCGTCAAGAAAAAGAAACCATAGCTGCTCAGGTTGAATCAGATACTTGCGATATTCAGGACATCAGTGAAGCGTATGGAATAATAAGAAATAACGTTCATTGTTTCCTCTCCAATTGGCATACCACGGAGATGGAACGCAATAAGAGAAGAATGGATGAAAATGCTGCTTTACAAAATGAAATTGAAGCACTTCATATTAAGAATACTAGTGAAAAAAGAATGATGTTATTCGAATTGAACACCTTAAAGGAAATCTATGAGAAAGCAATGACTAATCTTGAAAACGAGAAATTATCTTACAAGCAGGCAAACATGGATTTCAACTCTAAACTTATACATGTGTCCGCTGAACTGAAGGATTATGAAGAAAAACTCTCTTCACAAACCTCTGAGTATCAGAGTTTACAACTAAAATATAAATATGCTAGTGGTAAGAACGATGTATATCTGGATCGAATTGAAGACTTACAATACTTACAAAAAGTTGTTGAAGATACTGTCACTAATTATAGTTTATTAGAGTTGACAAACTGCACTTTACTGCGTGAGAAGGAGAAATGCTTAGCAGAATTTGACTCATGTCGCAAGAAGTTGAAAAGCGAAAGAGTTCTTTTTAAAAAAGAAAAAAAAGACTTACGTCAATATATGAGACAACTAAAATCAAAATGCAATGATTTATTTGAACTCTCCGAGACCTTAAAAGCTGCTAATCTATCCTTGGAAGCAAAATGTTCCAATATACAATTGTTTAAAAATTTCGATCTTCAAAAACCGCAATACGATCTTGAAATGGCTAGTGGCTTCACTTCCACTTCTAATAATGGAGATGGTGGCATTCAAGATGGGTCTTCAGATCTTAATAATGATTTACAGGTACTATATTTAATATATACAAAAATTGTAATTGCACTAATAGTTTTGTGTTTTCATTTAGGCTCCACAGCCGAAACCACCGTTCCAAAACTTCTTGTGTGGTAGTGAGCTTATAGCCAAGCAAAGCAGTTGTAGCTCTAAACCAAAACCCATAAATGCAATAAACCAGGAAACGCAACCCTATATACCACCTAAAAATGTCAAGGTAAAATATAAACATCTTTAGTAAGTATGTTAGATATTGGTTTAGATCGAAAGTTTATACTACTATTGTCACATTTTCTAAAGGGTAAGTTGTTGCATATATTTTTTCGATTCTATTCTCCAATGAGATATTAGTTTAGGAACAAATAAATAGGGTTCAAATTTTAAATCACATTTGAGATTCAATGTATTAAGAAATAATTTTTTAAATGTCATAGATGATAGTCATAGATGATAATTTTTTAAATGTCATAGATTGTGTAAACAGTTATTACAAAGCAAAGATAAAGTCTATTGTGCACAGGATATAATTCTTGAAAAACTCTACTTTGCAGACACCGAAGAACAATCAAAAACTGATATCGAAAGTCTCACATAACTTTCAAAAAATTTGAATTAATTAAAATGATACGGGTAGTTATCAAGAATAACCAGAACACATGTATTATACAAATCCCCACTTAGAGACGGGATCCCCCCACTTAGAAATTTAACTTAATCTTAAAATTAGTAAAATATCGGAAAAATTTAGCATACATTATGTTTTAATAAAATAAAGAGAAGAGTACTATATGAAAAAGGATCAAATTTCTCAAATAGAGACAAAGTCGAGATCAACGGCAAATAAGTTAATACTTTTAGTACTAGTGAGAGTTTACTGAGGTATTCCAATAGTTGAAGTCAACATTTAAAAAGAAAACAAACGAACTGCTTAAGTGTTGGACAAACTACGATAAACTCACAAATGAATCTCTTTATTTCCAGTTAGAGGACGTACACTATTTTTTTCAGAAACGTACTTATTGAGTACGTCATTGACTTACTACCATAAAAGGTGAAATAAAAACATAATGAAAACACATTCATTGGGGTTAAATCCCATCTATCCTATATGTGATATATCGTCGGCTACAGTTTGGGGTTTAGTTTTTGAAATCAGAATTCTAATTTGCTGAACATTTGTTAGACAATGAGATAAAAATATAACTTTAATATAATAACGGTTGGTAATTGAATTAATATTTCATGATGAAAACACATTCATTGGAGTTAAATCCCATCTATTCTACATGTGATATATCGTCGGCTATAGTTTGGGGTTTAGTTTTTGAAATCAGAATTCTAATTTGCTGAACATTTGTTAGCCAATGAGATAAAAATAGATTTTTAATATAATAACGGTTGGTAAATGAATTAATATTTCATAATGAAAACACATTCATTGGGGTTAAATCCCATCCATTCTACATGTGATATATCGTCGGCTATAGTTTCGGGTTTAGTTTTTGAAATCAGAATTCTAATTTGCTGAATATTTGTTAGACAATGAGACAAAAATAGATTTTTAATAATAGATTTAAATCTGGAAAAATTTATCTGGAAAAAATGAAAACTTAGAACTTAGAATATGTCCTTTATGTATGCCCGGCCTTGTAAAACTGAAACTCAAACAGAGAGTCAACAATTGTTTAGTGACCGAAATCATGTCTCTTATATGTATACTCGTAGCTAACATACCGGAGGTCAATATCTAACTAGTTTCACCTACCTATCGTTTACTTTATATTCTTTTTGTACTTAAATTTAATTAATGTTATAATACTAATATTAATTAATATCATTATATTAATATTTGAATATACCAATATTATTAACATATATCTACACTAATTATTACACTTAAAATTATTTAAAGAAAAATATTTTTTATTTTAAGCGCTTGTCCAAACATAAACAGAGGAAAGCCGATATTAAAGGTGTATCCAGACATTATGCTGAACGTAAGCTTAAACGTCAAAGCTACTACGATATTCAACGACCTGATCTATAAATGAATTTAATTATACACAAGGTCGTTGATGTGTATAATTAACACATTTACTTATTAATTTGTTATTAAGATGTTTATTTTTGAAACTTTATTTGAACGAGTCTACCCGTAAACGACACATTTCAATAATCTTTAAACAAAATTAATAAAGTACAATAGTATATTTTGGAATGTAATAACCTTTTGTTTTAATGGATAGTACAAATAGTCTTACTTATAAGGCAAATGTCAAAAATGTATTAGGTCTTAGCAAAAGTTTAAACTATTTTAGACGAAGTATTCTAATAGCTTACTGAATATTAAGTATTCTCCAAATCTGCCAAATCTTGTCCAAACTTTTAGACAAGAAGAAGAGAAGAAAAAGAGTTTGTCTCTAAGCATTTACTGAGAAGACTAGTCGTAATAAGCACAACATCAAAAACAGTATATTATATTTAAATCAAAAATCTATATAATCTTGTTAATATATAGGTCCATCTGATCTTCAGGTATATCTGTTTGTAGTATCTCTGTTTAGTGTTTTGTCAAATATGGAAAGCATATGATGAAGATATATAATATTAACAGAACACCAGTGTTAAACCTGGTTTTCAAAATATCGTTCTGAAACTTATACAACGTTCTGTAGATATATAAGTTGTGAAAAGGCATCTGAACCTAGAAAAACATAACATAAAATTTCATCAATGCACATTATCATTGATGATAATAGTGCTGAAAGTTTGAACTTGATAGTTCAAATTTTATCGAATTCCATTGTTCCAAATTACCAGACAAGCTTTTAGTTTTATTTTAAAATTTGAGTTATAGGTTTCAAATATTTTTGGAAAAAGAAATTTACTTCGTCGATTCGACTTTAATGCTTTATATCTTCAACATTACGGAAGTGATCCAATTTTGAAAAGAATAATCTTTATATACGAGGAATACGTTTAACAATGTTAAACGGCAGAAATAATATAGCAAGACATATAGTGACGCTTGCCTATTTGGTTGAAATTTTAGGTAAACCATTTTTCTTGAGCTTCTTGAATATTTTCAAGGTTCATATCATAGTTTTTTTTTTTAAAGCTTTGTGAATAAAGTTCAGAACTAAATCTAGAGAAGAGTTTTAATCTGTTTTGGACAGAAATTCCATATGAAACAAGTCTCTTCTGTGCGTTATTAAAGCTGAGCAGTCACAAAGAATATGCATAGTAGTAGTAGTTTCCTCATCTTCGAGGCATAGTCTGCATTCGGAATTAGCAGGTAATCGTAGTTTATGGAGGTGATATTTCAGGCCATAATGACTTGTAATGAAACCCGTTATCAACCTTAAATTACATTTTGAGAATTTAAGAATGTTTTTTTTGTTAGAGTACGGTGTTATCAGTGCTTTGCTTTGTCTAAATCCTGGGAAGTCTTCACAGTACTCCTAGTTAAGAACATTCTAGACGTTTCTATTAAAAAATTCTTGTCAAAATGGTAAAAAAAACAAAGCGTGTTTTTTTTTACTATATTTTTTTATTATTCAACACATTTTTTATTTATTAATAAATTTTTTAATATTTATATTTATTGTTCAATAAACATACTAAGCACAGAAATATTACTACTTTACTTTTTGACTTAATAATTATAGTTTATGTTTATGTTTTTGTTTTTGTTTTGAATTAATTAATTTTTTTTTTAATACAATATTCTTAAATTCCAACTAATTTTTTTTTTTTTTTGTATAAGAACGAATTTTGTTTTATTTTTTATTTTTTTTTTTTTTTGTTATCGAAATATTTCCTTCTCAAAGCTAATATAAAGCTATAATTTTTTTTTTTAATTTATTTCATATTAAAATATTTGTCTAATTTTTATTTTATTTATTTAAATTTTTGGACTAAAATTACGTTTAAATAAAGTCAAAAATTAACATAAATTTGAGAACACAATTAATAGATATTTAATTTCATTTAGAAATCATAAAAAGGCACAAAATTGTTTTAATACTTAATTAGGGAAATCTAAATAAATTATATCTTTAACATATATTTAAAAAATTATTTTATTTAAAAATTAAAAAAATATTAAAAAAATATTTCTTGAACTATATTTAATTTAGGAAAACTTAATTATTTAAATATTGTTGGAGTCCAGTTTTAAAGATGTAATTCTTATAAGAAAATTTCTTTTATTTTTTTTCTATATAATATTATGCCTATAGTTAAAACAGATGTTAACAACCTTTTAATATAATAAAAAATAAATTTAATAAATAATTTTAACTAAATATAAGATATTGTAAATGCTGTTTATAAAAACATTTTTAATATAAAATATTACATACATATATTAAGCATAAAAAGAAACTAAAAACTGCTACATAATTATGTATAAAGTTTTAAAAAAAATTTATGTTAATCGATAATAAAAAAAAATCGATAATAAAATTTAAATTAAAAAGCGTGGATTAACAATATATTCTTGTGATTAATTATAATTATTATTTTTATTATTTTAACTTATATAAGTTAATTGTTAAAATTTCTAAAAAACAAATTTAAAATAATAAATGACAGTGAAAATGTTAACCCTCCTGTGATCAAACTCAAATTTATTATTTAATTCACTTCTAAATATCTTTTAAATTTTGTAAACTATCAATATTTTATACAAAATGAAAGATAAGTATAACATAATTTTTGTTTAGACTTTTATATGGATTTACATTGTGAGATTAAAAGTAGAGTAAAGCAATAAACGAGATTTAAGTACTAATCTCGTTGTTTAATCACAGATTTCCCCTACAAAAGTTAGTATTCTTTTGGTGGAGATTAATTTTTAATCTCCTTCGAAATGGTGATTATTTTTCTGTGCAACTCTGCAAATGTCTAATTTCGTAGATTTTTTTACGATCTTAGAAGAATTGGAAAAGATATATCAAAATCTATTCGAAAGAAATATTGAAAATTTGAAAATGCCGAAGTAAGTAAATTTTTAATAAATTTGTTTTATAATAATTTTGTACATAATTATAACTAAAATTTGTTAGATTATTGTTATAAAACTATTTATTAAATTTATATTACAATTTTTTCCTACAAAATTGTAATTCAATGCTTTATATACAAAAATTTAAGAAACCCAAGAAACAAAACACAACAAGAGAAAGGTCAAAATTAATCTCGAATGTATAATGTAAAAGGTGGAGATTAAAAATGCAAATTAATTTAATCTCGTTTTATTAATCTCACAATGTAAACGTAGTATATGTTAAAGTTAGAGCATAATATTTTTTCCTTACACCGTTTACGTTAACAGTTTCTGTGCCACATATCTCCAACTTTTGTGAATTTTGTTGGAAAACAAAAGAAAACAGCTGTACATATCTAAAGTACTTCAGCCCATGATCACGTAGTGACTGATTTTTTCATAGATCATATAAACTTTTGCCTTCGTTAAAAAAAGTCAATTTTAAATTGAAATATATTTATGATTATATATATTATATATAATATATATGATTAGCATACATATAGTCTTACGTACTGAAACAGTTGAATATTTTTATGCATCTATACAGAGTGTTGTCTCATATAGTAACAAACTCAACAAGTGGATCAAGCAGATTAATTCCTTAGTCCACAGAACGAAATAAATTTTTTAAAGCACTTGTCTATTTTTTATACTATTTTAGATAGAAGATGTTAAAGAAAAATAGACACAAAAAAAATACCACTGTCAAAAAATTCTCAATAATTTAAAAATAGTTCATCCATATATCTTAAGCCATATACAAGTTTTTAATATATAGTACTAAACATTCTTCCATTATATTTCATATTTTTTCTTTTTCAAAAAATTAGATTTACCGGGTGTATGTTACCTAGTTCGAAATGGTCAGTAATTCACAACGGTAAAGCATCGGAGATTTTATCCATAATTTCTAGAATAAGACAACGCTGTCTATTGTCGCTGCCAATCTTTCATATTGTTACTGATATCGTCACATGATGGCTTACAATAAAAAAAAAATTGCAAGAATTATTTGGACTGGTGACGCCCGGTATGGTGATGAAAAAAAATAAATTAGTCGGTAGGCGCGCCTACAAGCAAGAAAATCGGGAATTTTCCGAGGTCGTTTTTTTTAACCGATACGATCAGAGCAAAAAAAATTTTTATTAATACAATATCGGAAGAGTAATAAAAACTTGTGCGGTTAATAAATTGAATGAGTCGGTGGGTTTCAATATTTGGGTTGCATATAAGCAAGGGAGGCTAAATGCTTATATGCATTTAGGTTTAGGTTACATATAGTTGTAACGAATCAAAAAAAAAAAAAAATGGTGTCTATACATGATTCAGTATAGCTGCGAAGTATGATCCATGAAAGAGCAAGTGAATATAAAATACGAACTTGATAAGGCTTTATTAATTTTAATATTCTTTATCCCATTATTAATTAAGAGTTATGGTTCAGAACAGGAATATCAAATGATAACATCAAATTTCGAAAATTCGGATCGAAAAATGTATCTAATATTATCACAGCAATAAGGGTTAAGGCTGTCCAAATATAGAGATAGAGAAATATAGAGATTTTGAAGAAATGTACCATGACATAGGTAAAATAAGTGTGTGAGTATCAAAAACTATTTCGTATAACTATGCCATGGCCGATCTGCAATGATATATAGTAGAATATATATTATTAATAACTTGTTCAACTAATATAATAAAAGCAACCTTTTCAGCACTTTTAGTGTTAAGCTCAAAAAGGATTATACCAGGGGAGATTGTAAGTTCATGATCGGACATAATGAGAAATACTATAGTAAAATGTAGAAGGTTGTATTGATTGAAGCAGGTAGTAAGGATTGGTAAACAAATATATGTTAACGTTTAAAATAGATCACTGCAACCCAAAGGTCATGATTAGGATATAATTTTTTTCCCAGTTAAATCTGGCAAAATACAAAAACAAATATTATCCTAAAAAATAACAGTCTAGCTGTAGACTCTGCTTAAAAATAGATCATAATTTTCACAACAGACAATTATATTTATATTAGCAATTGTATGTAGGTTTTTTATAGTATTTTGCTAATTAAATATAATTCAAAAATATATTTCATTTGTTATTGATATATGCGATCTATAGCACTGTAGTAGCTGTCCG